CTTTCCCTGACACTTTTTGGAATTAATGAGGAAGGGAATATACTGAAAGAAAATCATAGATGATTTCTAGGAACATAAACAGAAAGTTATGGCATGAATGCATCCTCTAGATTGTCACATATATAGATGACATTTTAAGACACAGTTATTAATAGATTAACATCTTTACTTCCTCCTAAGTCTTCCCATGTTTGTGGCTTTACTCAAGTCATGAAGCTCAGAATTTTTACTGCTTTCTGTTTAAGTAATAACCATGTACACTTGCGGTTTTGCGAAGTTCTTAGCATCTGATTCTTCCATATAGGCCATTTAATTTGAAGCTAATTAATTATTTTCTTTTGGGTTTGCATATTGTCAGTATACTAGTGTCCAGAATGTCCAGTTCATAAGCTTTTCAGTTTATTTCCCTCCTTTTATATTTGTATCAGATTCTTTTTAGGGTTCTTTATTGCAGTTTTTTATCTTTTTACTAGTTCTAAATAAATACCTATTCCTTCAAAACAGTTAATTCTATGATACCAATAACAAAATACCAACCCCAAACTACGTGGAAGCCCTGTTTTGGCAGCCCTGTCAGTGGTTGAAAGAGACAGTGATATGGGAACTGCCATGATAGGCTGTAACTGTTCTGTACAAACAATGCAAAGTCACTTTAATAAACATACAAGGATATGGGGGTGGCGGGGTTGGGGCTCATGCAAGAACAGATAAAGGTGACAGAGGTAGTGGCTTATTACAGGGAACAGTCAGTGCATTGTTAGTTTTGGTGAATGTCAGTTGTTACCCATGTCAGATAAAAGACTGACCAGAAATCCGGGCATGGAAACTTCGTTACAGTACCTTCCTTGACATAAGGGCTTTTGGATCAATAACACTTCACCTCTATAACCATTTACAGTATTTTGGACTATGTGTTGTTAATTGATTCTCTTCTACCTTTTTGGCAAGAACAGATTCATTTTCTGTTGTTGATCTGGAACAGCTTGCTAAAAACCTGCCAGTTCAACAGCCAAATGTGTATGCTAATTACTGATACAGTTGTAGAACTGTAGCTGATTTAAATCATTAGAGATCCATTTAAAATAACTTACACCAATTAAGAGGTACCAATTTATTTTTCATAACCCATATATCATTACTGCTTGCTATTACTTAATGTTATTTCAAATCTGCTTAAAACCTGAACAATATTAAAAACAAATGGGGACAGCATGCCCTATCCTTAATTGAAGCGGGGGAAAAAGCAGCCTGGCTTTGTGTATATCACTGCAAATATACTGGGCTACCTCAGATAGATCTCTGCTCAGCTAACATGTATGTGCTTATCCCTGTGGAAGATACAAAAACACAGTATTGGTTTGCTTAAGATATAGGAGTTTGCACATATTTTAAAATGATCACTTAAAGGTTTAGAATTCTTATCCTTCAGTTAACACCTGCAATATTTGCTTGGACAGTGATTTAAAAAAAAAATCATGGTAAACAATAGTGTGAATCTTATCCAAGATATTAATAACCTTTATTTCAAGAAAGAGGGAGTGATTACCTCATTTTTTTCTATCCAAGACAAATGGAGACCATAAGTTTTAGGTTTAGACCATGGGTGTTGTGTTTTTTCTTTTCCTCTGTTGCATAAGGACCGTTGCTTTCTCCTATGTCAGTTCTGAGTTTGGTGTTTAGATTTGTTTATCTCAAAAATGATGAAAGTTGCAGCTGCAACAGCAGATGTACTTCTCTGATTTTCATATCTATCTTCTGCAGCCCATTAGGTTGAAAAGTCAGTTTTGCACGTGTGTTTCAGTGCTACCTGAAGGCAACTTGCCTAACTTTTGTAATCTTTCTGAAAATGAGGTCCTTCATGCAGAAATAACAATCAGCTGTACATTTGACAGTGTTAGAGAATTTTTATTCAAGTTTTTAATTGCATTTTTGCATGAGGGAGTTCTGAAACATCAAATGAACTACAGCACCACCTGTGAAGTGCTCACTGCAAATGTTAAGATGAAATGAGTGGGAAATATCAACAGTGGGCAACTTCAACAGCAATGAAGAAAATGTTCTCCTTTAAGATAATTTATGTACCTCTATTCCAGCATAGCATAGTTTGCATAGGAAGTTAATTAACTGTTCAGCTTCCAAACTATATTCAGAACTTATACATTTGCACAATAAATTAATAAAGATAGAGGGAAATTATAATATTTCTAATGATTTCCAGAACCTTTGCTGGAAAAATGAAGGAGCCTATGTAAAGCAAGAAAGAGAATTGAAATAAAAATCCTGGTTTCACTGCATTGAAGTAGACAGGCTACAACCCACGGAGTATTCCAGAAGCAACTGTAGACACCACATAATGAGAAAGCTATTACTATTCTTTTGTCCTCTTATCACTAATCTGTATGGATTAAGGGAACGTGTTTAAAAAAAACAACCAAACAAAACCCAACACTGTCAGTTATAGTACACCAAGGAACTAAGTTAGGTTGGAGCATAGTCTTGAAGGTGCCATCCAGCTGTTGGCACTTGTTGCCCGAAATAGACTGGCAATGATATGATTCGCAAGGACAGATCCAATTTATTCTTCCTGAGGGTAACATTAAGGGAGGGAGTGCTAAGATGGAGCAGCCACAGGTGCAAAGCTTAATGGGTAGTGGGAGTGGCATTATCCAAATGAAGATGTGTCTCCCACTGCAAACTGCTCTTCTCTTTGTGCAACAACTTTTGTCTAGCTTCCTCACAGTTCTCCATTTTATTTGCTTATCAGAATACCACCTAAATAAGATTAAGGCTTTGTTGTATTTCAGACAAAGGTCAACAGGTCACAAAAGATCACCTAGATATTTACATCTTGTGGTTGAAATGTAAGCATGATACAACTCAGTAAAGGATTGACTTCTAATACTTATCCTATATCATCTAGACAGGCTGAATTTTTGCAGCATTTAATTCCCATGTAAGAAACTGGGAGCTGGCCTGTGAAGATAATTTTGTATGAAAAGGCTGTTTTCTATTAAATATATATTAAAATTACCTATGTGAACATTATATAGTAAATAGTGAAGTATCTGAAATTCAGTGAAATATCTGAAATCCCTAAAAATCTAGGAAATTCACTGTACAGCTAGGAAATGGAAATTATATGCTAATTCTGTATAATAATGATGATTTTAGCATGTATTCAAATTTGCAAAGATACTAAGATATCTGAGGTGAAGAGACTGGGAGGCTACATGAGAAAAATCTAGCAATAATATCTAGATTGATAGTAAAGGGAAAAAGAGATGACCAGAGTGAAAGACCTCTGTCCTCAAAGACTGACACAGTGATATTATTTGTCTTACTCTAATAAACTCAGAAAATGGCCTGAAAGATCATGGTGATACTGTAAGTTTTGTGGACTGCAGAGGTAGGTGGGTCAGATCACCAGCAAAGGTCTGTGGAAAAAGAGGATTGTTCTTGAATTTACCAAGATAAACAGATACATAATGTTACTTCGTATGCTCCATCTAATGTTTTAGCAGTAGTATTTTGGACAAGCAAATTTAATTAAACTTATCTCCATATAGCCTCCCTGTTCCACAGCTTGAAAAATGCCAGCATGTGCACTAGAATGTATAGAATATGAAGACTTTATCTAGCATTTAAATTATGGTACTGCCCTTACTGTGACTAGGACTGCCCTTCAACACAGAACAATTGTTCTCAAACTGTCACAGTAATGCAAATACCCCTTACAGATACATGGAAATGTACACAGAATATGTAATGATAGTGCCTTTAAAGTGGATTGGAATAAAAAATGCATTATAATAAAAGTTGTATATGTTTTAAGTGTTTGGTCAATTAAAATATTTTCTACTTTAATTGCCTGTGGCAGGTTCTTGGAAAACTGTATTAGCTCTAAATATTCAGTTAGCCAAAAATATTCAATTTTCCTTGAGCAAATTCTGTGTCCACCTCTGTCCAGAGGGTTGGTGGATTAATATTATATTGTAAAGTGATGGAACTCAAATCAAACTTCATTCTTACATGAGGGTAGAAGTTGGAAAAAATAATCTTTTACATTTACATTTTACAATCGTAAAATAATTTCTGTTTCCACTTATTTTGAAAACATTGTTACAAAATCAGAAAAAGTATTAAAATTATAACATTTAAATTGGGGGTGGAGGGAGGCAATCTCCTTACCTTTTCTAATTTGGATAGAGCAAGAGAATAGCAGTCTTTGGCTCTGAACTGCATGAATCTCATATTGGCTGGGTGAGTTAGTTCTGTGATAATGCTTAGGCTTGAGAACAACCTGTAGTTTAAAAGAATGTAACGGTTATACTTCTAATTATAACAATTCACAAATGTAAGAACCTACATAATGCTATAGCTTGTGCTCATGCCCATGTTTTTAATGAAGTGCCTGAAACTTGTGTTGTTTTTTGGCACAATTAAATGCTGGTATAATAGCAGAGGAAACTACAAAATATTCTCTGTAGAATTCACAAAGAAGCAAACATACGTTCAAAGGTTAAGCTTATAAAATACTTCAATGCCAGAATCAACCTCTTAATTTCATTACCAGAGCTTTTATTGAAAAACTTCTAAAATGACACAAATCTGTAGGAAGCAACAAAAAATGCAAAAATATATATATCCTGCATTCTAGTATCTCGTTGCATATAAACTACAATTTTACTAGAACTGGCTTAGGCACTCTTCCAATTTGTCTTGTTTTTATAGGTTTTTTTGAGTTCTGTTTGTATGCTCTGTGTCCACAGACTGGGTAGCAGATGAAAACTGACACTTCTTGGGAGGTGCTGAGAAAATGTATGCTTATGTATACTTATGTTCTCACTTTGAATTATTTACATGTACAAAATATTTATAAGTTAACACTAATCCAGGCTTCCAATAACAAAAACAGTGAAGAAAGTTTAACTGATCTGTCTGAATTACACAGATTTTCATGAAGCAGACTAAAGAGGCCCTCCCTAGCCCTCAGGGCTCTAAGAACTAGAAAGAAATTTGTAGTTTATGCTATGGAAATACTAAACAACTTGGAATAGAAGTTATTATTACTTGAGTATTTCCTCTACAGATTAGTGTCAGAAAATGAGATGTACATTTGTAATCTGTTTTGCTGATCCTGAAAGTACTTATCTACATGTGACAATAGATAATTGTAGTACTAATGACATCATTAATGTGGCTTCTGTTTCATTTGGATAAAAATTAAAGCGGTTTTCTTGAAAGCTGGATTTAGTAATTTAGTGTCAGATGGAGTCCAGTGTACCTTTTGCAAGTCTTTAGTCTTTTTCCCTCATTTTTGTAAGGTGGAACTTACTGAAATGGCAATTCAAGCAGAGCCTAAACGTGGGGACATGTGTGTCAAAGCTACCTGCCGGTACATGTTAATGCCGTATTAATTGCAATACAGTTTCCTAGGTCTGCTGATGCCAAAACATAGACTGGTAATGAATACATGATCCCAAACATGTTCTGAACATACGATCATATGATGGCAGAAATGCTAGACGTTCTTAGGTTAGCAATTATCATGTCCCTGTGAATAACCAAGTATTAAATGTGATCATCTAAGGAAAAATGGACTTGGCAAACTGGGTGAGAATGTGAATCACTTAACAATGACCGTTTGTGTGTGCTGTAGTTTGAAAGGCATTGTGCATGCTCAGGAATATCTGTAACCTTTTTAGCTCTTGCAGTCAGACTGATACAAACTGAGTGATGCAGTATTGTTATACAAAGTATGTATGCCCTACTAAAGATTAAGCACTTAGGGGATGGAGTCTATATACATAAATACGTGATAACCACACCGTTGAGATGTAACTGTGGTACATCTTTACTTGTATGCTGCGTGTTATAAAAATCTGTGAGCTGCTCATGAAAATTGAAAAAAATCCTGATAATATCATGCTTGTAAGTATGAACTTGTACTCATAAGTATCTTAATAAATGTGTTAAATTTCTGAGGAAGAAGAATAAATTTCTACCACACTAATTCTGTATCATTTAGCATAGAATTTTTTAAGCTTCTGCCAGCTGGAAATTTTCTTGTATTGCTCTACTAAAGGACAGGCATTCGTATTTGAAAACTAACAATACAACATTAAGAACTAAGAGTAACCAGAAATTAAAAGCTGCTCTAATGATAAGTCGGATAAGCTTGTGTTGTGTCACAGTTTTAATTGATATGGAACAGTTTCTAGCCTTAAGGGTGCTAATAACCTTGTTGTTATAAACAATGCATCTGTCTTTAAGGTGTGTGTGGGGGGGACTCTTCTGGCAAAAAAAGATTATTAATTTATGTAAATCAGGGAACAACCTCAGAACAGGTATATGAGAACTGGCAACCTAGGTCAAACAGTACTGCAGTACACTTACATCACCTTTTCAGGCCTGTCCACAACCCTTAATGAGGTCAACTGATCTAAGTCAATCAAATCAGTTGAGGTTTAGATTAGCCTGTATCTTCTGAATTATTTCACTTGCTGAGACTTAAGTGTAATCTTCTCATTGATGTGATACCTTTAAGAATAGCATATATTAGCAAAACTCCAGTAGTTTAAAATCCTTCTTTAACACTACATTTTAAGTGCTGTTTTTTTCTACCATGTCCAGCCTCTTCATTAGTTTCTGATATTATTAGCTACTATTAAGTAACAAAAAATCTTTAAACATATTTTTAAAGTTCATTTACAAAACTATTTACCCTGGTGCAATGAATTTAGTTTATTCTGTAGAACAGGTAAATGCCACTACCTTATCTCTTCCGAAAGCTTACTTATTTCTACAACTTTTATGTAATATAAACATGCAGTGAAATTATTGTATGTGTTCGGGGGGGGGGATTATACAGTACACTACTTGTGAAAGTTTACAAAGTTTTCTGAAAAAGTGCTGTTAAGTCTTAAACCAAGATATTTATTCTGATTTGGATATTTGTAAAAAGTACCACGCAGTCTTAAAATATACCATGCAGTCTACTGAACCAGATATATAGTTCATACATGAGTTAAAGCTGCCATCTAATTGTAAGTACTGTGCAAGATAACTGAATGATCATATATAGTATGTTCTAGTTGGATGCCTAGGGTACGTAGTGTATTACTATGATTGTTTTTCTTTTAGTATTTTGCAAGGTAGAACACAACTATGGAAAAAATCAATTGGTACTTTGGAAGTTTTATTTTTTTATCCAACTCCTTTTTCTGTTTTATATTTGGGGGTAAACTGTATTTCTGAAAAACATTAAGTGATGTATGTCAAAACCTCAGTGAGTTACCCTAGCACATTATGGTTAAGAGTAGACTTGAATGATCCATAGATTATGTTCAATTACAGTTTCTAAATTAATATGAAACACAGACCTGTGCTAATATCAGATACAAAGTCAAAAACTCAAAGCTAGAAAAAGGCAGAAATCAAGTTTCTTGCGCAACATAATTTTGCTTCTTTTGAGCACATGCAGAAATGCTAACAGCATTTAACTGCATTCTCACACATGGTTGCATTAAAAAAAAAAATCTTAACTGAAATAGTTGTGTTTCAATGAGCTCAGCTTACTAAAACACTGACAGATTCAAAAGACCTTTACTATGCAACTCTCTCTGATCTTATGTGGAAGGCTTGACGCAGGAAAGGGCAGCAATATTGAATGATACTGAATCCTCTAGGGAAGGACTTAATTTTGTCCAGGTCTTATAAGAATGAACAGGAAGTGTTAGACTTAAGCCTCAGATCAGGGAGGCGTTTCATCCTGGAATGTGTAGTGTGTTTGGTTGGGGGGGGGGGGGGGGGGGGGGGTGTTTTTTAAGCAAATAAGAACTTTTTTCACAGTTTAAAGGAACATGTATCTTTTGGTACTTGTTAAATCAAGATATTTAACACAAAGTGAGGTTTTAATCAGGACAGATTCTGAAATGAACAAGAAATCTCAGTGTGTTTAGCTCTTCATCACAGCACTGCCTTCTTAGCCTCTTCAGTAGACTGATCTCTCTTTTCCACTCTGTATTCAGTTATTCCTTCATGACTCTTAGTATGTTGTTGTCGTATGTAATGTTGCATACATGTGCCTAAAAACCTAATTTTTATTCAAAATGTGAACACTTTACTACTAACTTCATAGTGATGCATTGCTGACCTTTTAGCCTTAGAAGGGTCTGCTTTTCATACTGGCTTTGGCATTGCTGTGAAAGACTGCTGTACTGAGGAAAAGTTTCTTTTCTCAGCTGTCTTTGGTCCTAAATCTTCAAGAGTAGCTTCATTTTCCTTCCTGCAAACCTGACATTTGACTTCTAAAATGATCATCTAGTTTTGGGATGCAGAGAATTTAGTCTGAGACTTCAGGAGAATACCTCAGAATTCTGAGTGTATTGCTAAGCAGGGTAGGAAAAAAATGCCCATGTAAGATAGAAATTCATTTAAGGGAAAACTTAAGTAGAAGAATTTAAAAAAAAAAAAAAAAACAAACTTATCTGAGTACAAAAGGTTTTTCACAATTAATGAGGATGTATACACAGATTGCAAAAATGCCTTACCTAAAGAGTGTTTGAACATTTACAATAGTCTTAGCATCTGCCATATAGTCTTCCTCAGCACTCATTGTACTTTCTTTGTCCACCACCACCATATTAGCTGCAAAGGTGACCCCACATCTTAATAAGTCATCTAGGCTTTTGGGAAGAGAAAGAGGGAAAAAGAAACAAGCCACTTAAAAATGGAACACTTAAAAGGTTAGGGATGGTTGGAATTTGCAGATCACAGACTGAGTTGCTGGTTCCCTTCATCTCCATGTACATATCATAACTTTCAATATAATCTATATCAAGTACATCATATCAATTGATGGAATGGAATTGTTTTCCAATTATTTTCCTTGAAGTTACACAGAAAGCACTTCAGTAGGTTGGTACAGTCCCTTTTCTTTTGCTAAAGGGATAAATTTATTTCAAATTTTTAAAATAATCCTTTAACAGTTACTTGGGAAGACAGTATGTCCTTTTGTGCTACAACAACTTGTTTCATTACAGTTACTTTTGGCAATAAACAGACCCAAGTAAATGCTTTGGGTTGCTTTTCCCCACAATTATACTTCAGTTTCAAAATGCTAAGAAATGTTCTACCAGGACATCTAATACATTCCTCTTTCAGGTTAATCCATGAGTTGGAGTGTTCTCATGATGCTTTTAGGAGCAGCTGTACATCAGTACAACTTTGCACACTGCTGGACAGTGTTTCCTGTGAAGCCTGACAATAGAAAACTCTCACAGAAAACTGAGTTACAGTTCTCATCATGTCTTATAGCTTTGTTTACAAAATGAAGCATGTTTCAATTGTTTTAAAAATAATATTTTCCATAGAAACCAAGCACTTTTTGAGAAGTTTAGGAAGGACTTTTCTGTAATGATAAAGGCTGCTGGGAACCTAGCAATTTTTAAGTGAAAATCAAAAGAAAGAGTGAATTTCACGGTTTCCAAGGGAAATTGGAAAACTAAATTTTTGAATCATTCTCTTTACTTCTAAGGTGAAAGGTTGTTTTGTCGTCATAATTGCTTCTCATTTGGCAGTTTTAATTGTCCTGGTACAGTTTTTCTTTTCAGTAATGATCTTGGGTTCCAAAGTTTACATAGTCTATTATAAATTCTTTTTGAAATTTTAGGTAAGCTAAACTCTATAAATTTGTGGTATTTATTTTGCATCTTATTCTTCCAAAGCAAATACATAATATAATTATTTTTGAAAATGTGTAATATCACCAACGGTTGACTACAACAGAGAAAGGTTGTATTTTATATGAACTATTCTATCAACTTCAGTGCACAAATAGAATTCCAACCTTTCTTGGAGTAATTTGTATTTCTGCTTTTTCAATCTTTCAGCTGATCCCTGAAAACATCAGCATATTCTGAAACACCAAGGGTTTACTGCATTTCAGTGCAAGCTTAACAAGCTCAACAGCTATTCTTATTTTAAGTCACATTCAGCTAATTTGTGGATAATTTTAATACTAATTTAGAAGTAGTATAATTGTTCTCGGGTACCTCTAGCTATAGGTTTCTTAATACTGAATAGATTTCTAGACAACTATGAAATCTGTTCAGTTACAGACCTTAAATAATTTATACATGAAAACTACAGAACAGATATCTACCACTTGATGACATACTTCGAAGTACATCCCAGCTATGAATTTTGGTAAAGCTATTTTTCCGCAGGCCATCCACTACTAACAAGAGAGTGGTAAATGAGAGTAATTCTTCTGGTGGTTTTCTCTCTAAGATGATGACGTTTCATGCCAGGTGACTAAATGACAAATATATTAGATAGTTAATGGTAGTAGGCAGGACTTTGGGAATGTATTCCATACCCATTAAGTAAGAAAGGAAACTTTGCATATTTTACACTGTAGTTCTTGGCTAAAGATGATCAACTTCTATTAATTGTACATTATTTAAAAACATGTTTAGGAAAGCACAGGGAATAAGTATGAACTATATTTTTAAAAGTATTGTTACTGGTGAAAAATGTCAACAAAAAAAAACCCCTACAAAATGTGATTGATTATTGTATGAGGAATTAAAGTAATTGTATTGTCAGAAAAGATGCAGAAGTTCATGCTAGTATTACCACAAGCTGTGGAATTCTGTACTTATTTCAAAGACTATACACTTCTTTTTAATGCTCTCAGTTCTAAAAACAACAAAACACTTAAGGAGAGATTGAATGATTTCCTTCTTGAAATAAACTCAGTAAATTCAATTGAAGTTTAATTTTCCTTGTTAACATCTTTGGGTTATTAATCACTTTGTATACTTTGAGTCAAATTAATTGTTCTGCTGATACTAATTCTTTTTATAATTGTTATGTAATTAAGAGTTAAGAAGCAGATATTAACAACCTGAGTCACTTTTTTGGTTTAGAGGAAGAAATGTAGAAAGTGAAAAACATTTCTGTAGATTCTTTGCAGATCTCACAGTGACTATGATATCACCAAGGTAAATCTGTATCACTATTATAAGTAGTTTTAAAGCCTTTGTTATGTTAGGTTGAGATGGAGAAACACTGAATCTTGAGGATTCTCATTGGAAAAACTGGATTCTGTTAATTCAGGGCAGGAAATAAGTTTTTTAATTTCTACCTGAGGAATGAGTATTATGGGATTGTAGCCCCAACTCGATATTAGCTATGTAGTGAAGCAAACCATTTTCTTCATTAAACTGACACTCTACACACAGGAGTTTACTAAAATGCTAATGAGCCCTTGCTCTTCTCTTTTTTCTGCCTGATTTTTACATTAAATCTGTGTTGCTAAACCTAGATATGCAAATATGTATTAGCAGAGGTGAAGAGAGAAATATAGGAGTAGGTGATATTTTAAGTAGCGGAAGATGAAGACTGTTGGGCACGTTCAAGACTGTCTATATTCTGCATCTATCTTTACAAAGCCCTAGTCAGTAAATCCCAACAAACTATAACTAAGTCCAGAATGACACTATAATCAGGACTATAATCTGGCAATTTGTAGACACATATTAATGCACCTAAATAAGCGTTAATCTTATGTTTTTGAAGATATTACTCTGTGTTCCCTGTCACACTTTTTATTAATGATATCCTTTATAAGTCAGAAATTTCAAATCCCAAATTATAGCACACAGACACAAACCATGCATGCAAAAAGATCATTTTCAAATACAACACACATTTAGACATGCAATGACAATACACACAACAAACCACTGAGCACTACAATGTTAAATTTTCTAACAGTTATTTCACCTACTTGTCGATAGAGCCCACCATGTAGTAAACCATTGGAAACCAACAGATTGCATCCAGAAAATGCATATCTGGCCTAAGCAGCAGATGGGATTACAAAATGAAAGACAATATCACAACAGCAGCATCTCTTCTAAAATATTTCAATAAACTGGTAGTGTTAAAAAAACAAACAAACAAAAAAAAAAAAACCAAAAAACCAAAAAAACAAAAAAAACCCCACACAACCAAAAAAAAAACCCAAAAAAAACAAACAAAAAAAAAACCTTTTTAAAACTTTGGCAGTATAATATCACTTTAAACAGGAAACAGGTTTCCAGAAAGCTGTGAATCAACAGTTTGCTGTGATCATAAAGAATGATCAGAATTAACGTGCATATATTAATAAATGTACTTCTTAAATCAGAAATTTTATGGCACAGTACAATTCAAAATGTAAGAATGAAAGACTGATGTCAAAGACACACTACCAAGTTACACTTCAATGCATAACTTAAAAGAGTACTTAAAATAAGCAGTGAGATTTTTTAATTTAAATGTGAAGAAACCAAATCATAATTGGGTTTTGTGCCAACAGCTCCATTCAAGTCAATGAGATAATCTTCGAGGAAATAATGTATTTCTCTCTTCGATGAGATAATGTATTTTACTGCATTTTCTTTAGTCATAAATTTTACTGTGTTTCTTCTTACACACCAAGAAACATCAGAAATCTTAAAGCACGTGATGTGCAGATAACAGAATAAGCATAGTGTAATAAGTTGCCTTGACAAATAGCGAAAATAGGAATATAACAAGGCATAGATATGGTCACCAAAAGTGGCTGAATTACTAAGTCCAATGAAGTAAATTTAATGGCAGCCTAAATTCCATCTCAGGCATATGTGAAAAATATGCTCGTTTTTCAGATAGTCCTATGCATGTTGCCTTTCAGAGGATTCACTGCAAATGCCATGTAGAGGAATACAACACTAAGGGTATTAGTTTAATTAGCAACCATAGCTTTTACTTTATGCTAATAAAAGGTGGGTTTAGCCATAAAATGTTACAACAGCATTAAAATATGTAAACTTAGGCACTATGCTGGAAAAGAGGACAAGCACCAGAGGGCACTGTATGCTCACATCTTTAATCTTAAAGTTGCAAACCAGAAGTCCTGTAGCCTAATTTAGGCTTTTACCAACTCGTGTAATTCACTTCATACCATAATATGTACATTAAAAAGCTTCTGGTTTTCAAACACAGGCGTATACAGCTTCATTAAAGAGCTGTCTGAGACAGAAGTGGGACACTTCACAGCAGGCTTTTGTATAATAAATCACTTAAGCTAGAACATATATATATGCGAAGGGGAGTGTCAGCCTGAAATCAGAACCTGTAAGACATTGCTGCTGTTGTTACTTGAATCACAGATGGATCTAATTTTCTGTATATGGCTAACTTCCATTTTTGTGTGACTTTAAGTACTTGAACAGTAGCAAAGTGTTGAGGGGAAAAAAAAAAAAAGTCTCATTCATTGTCAGATTATAAATGAATCAGTCTTGCCAGAGAATTTGTCTGAAATTTTAAACAGCTAATGCAAGAAAGGATAAGAATTCCAGTGATCTCCAGTTATGGTAGTAACAACAGTATTGCAGGTTTTAATTTTCTTCCATGACTTTATACAATCATAGACAAAATGTGTGGGTGTCCTACTGGCTTAAAGAACTGTTTATTTTAGAGGCTAAAATTGTTAAAAATTTACCTAACTGGTCCAGGCCACTAAGTGCCTTGTGCTAAGTAGGTTAGTGTTGTCTGAAGTGATGTCATGTAGATGTGAAACTGTTACACAGCTTGCTTTTTACAGTATTTATGAAGTTATTTAATTTTAGCAGTATTTTGGGTATTTTTAAGAAATACTTAGCTGAAACATTGGCTTTGAAGAATAAGGACACTTAAATACACTATGGCCATTTACAGTCAGGAAAAAGTAAATTTTGTATATGACAGTGAACATAAGGTATTATTTTTGTCACTAACTTTTCTCAAAGATAAATGTGCCATAATGTTTTTGATTTTAAGTTGGCCATGTGGAGAGTGATCATCTGTTGATGTAATGGTAAAATGAGTTTAAAATGAATGACAAACAAAAAAATTAAAATCTGCTTACGGGTTATCTAGGAGTAATACAATGGGATTTAGTTCTTTCTTTGGTCGGTAATAAGCTCTGAGTGGAACAATAAAGTTATATAAGCCATTTCCAGCAGTTTCTGCTGCAACTATAATCAATTTATTTTTGAATCCATAGGCTTTGGCATCTTCGTAGTAGTTATGTTGGCATCCCTAAAATCAAAATAAGAAACAAGTTCAGTGGATATGAATAAAGAGATTTAGCTATAACATTAAAGGGTTTTACCATTAGAAATAGAAAATTGTATCAGATTTCTATCAGACCTGATATAGACCTGATTAGACACAAACACTTGGTGATGAAAAGGATGAGAAAACTTATTGTAGCTTAGTAAGTGCTGAACAAAACTCCTCTCTAAGCAGAAACCAGAATTTAACTCTATTCAGATGCAAGAGAGGAATGAGAATGCAGTTTTATCCAGTAACAAACTCCTTTTACCTTATCTAGTCTTAGACAACAGAAAGGTACTTTTTCATGCAGAAGATGACAGAATGTGGGAGAGCTTCCGATATATGGAGAGTAAGGAGGGTAGCCTTTGGCATACCTAGGAGAACAGAACAAACATTCTTCAGTATAGCAAATTACTGAAACACAATGACTCTACAACTATTTTATGGAATGTTTGTACCTGTGTCTAAGTTTTGCAGTTATCTGTAGACTAGCAGAGTCAAAATACATGAAATAATCTATGTTTAGTTAAGTATCAAAGGAATATATTTGTAGCTTTGACCAATTCAATACAATTTAGTGAAGGCTATCATGCTTTTGTGGACTAAAGGAATTTTGCTTGGGGTGTTTTTGCATAGGCATCTTTGGAAGTGGGCTGATGCATCATAGTGCCCTGTCCTACTGTTTTGAATGCATGTATTGGAAACTTCTAAGGAAGGAAAAAAAGAAAGGAAAGAAGATAGACATACTCGTGGTACTTCTGCTATTCTTCTCCATTTTTCTTTCAAACACTTATCAAGAATGAGTGAGGTCATTACCTTCTTGCCTTAATAACGTACTTTCAACATGGTTGGAATGAATTTTAAATGGCAAATCCTCTTACTGATAAGATTAAATTTCTAATTGGCCTTAGTTTTTAATGAGGCCTTTTAAATCCTGCTATTTCAGTCTGTAGATTTAAGATGACTTGTTCTATTTTTTTTTTCATTGGAACTTTATGATCTTCCCTGGGGCTTCTCATGCCTACCACTGTTGGAGATTGGAAACTATGCTAGGTGAGCCATTGGCTTAATTGTGTATTTCATTTTTTTAACATCCCTGTCAGTAATCCCTATAAACGTAATTGCTTATCTGTATGGGCAAGTGGGCAGTTACAGGATTGAATCTTCTGTTTTTATCTGAGTAATGCATCACTACTTTCAGTAATGTGCTAACAAGTATTTTAAATTAGATGTAACAATTTTGTCTCATACTGCTTTTTTTGTCAGTCTTACATTTTGAAGTCAGACACCTAACCCCAGTGTTCAACACGCCTTGTTGAATGACGTGATTATCACTGCATCCTCAGGTCAGAAGTACTGTTTACAAGTCAGTTGAGTCCTGTCTTTGTAACTATAGAATGTAAGAAAATGGTCATAAATGCTATAAAAAAATTGCAATACATAATTAGATCTTTATAATTGAGCATAGAAAAATCTCCAGCAAATGGATCTGTTTGTGGTTTTTTTAATATCAAAATAGGCATAGCAGCACTCTGCTAACAGAAAATAGCATTTCACAAAAGGGAAGAATTCGGTAATTGGCCTGTATGGGTCTAGCTTGCTACAGCTGCTTGGATTGATCTACATGTCAAAAAATTATCCATGCCTTTTACATAATATTAGCTTTTCAAATTCTGTTGTTTATATTTAATATACATACTCTAAGCCTGCAGACACTTCATCATCTGACGGTGTAGTTTCATCTTCTTCTGACTGATCACTTAGCAGGTCACATGTCTGAAGTGAGGATGAGTCTGCAACCTCCAGTACAGGTGCTATACTGGGCCGTCTGCCCTCTTTGCCTCCCTCGGAAGGAAGAGCTAGTGTAGATCCGCTGGACATTTGGCATCCTGTATCTTGTAAATCGATAGCCACTGTCCCTGAAATAGCATTGAAAGCATTTTCTCAATGTTGTTGTCAAAACATTAGAATAAGATTCCCATGGGGGTTACCTGACTACACGGCCAAAGACTGAAAGGAATACTATATTGATTGTTTTTATTACATTAAAATATACAAATATTTAAACTATATCTGAGGAAGCCTGTTCCTGCAAAGTAGCACTTTTTCTCACCATTACTACATAAACTATTGTTAACTACCTTTTTAAAATCATACCCTACATCATTAATCCATATTTATATGCATCAACAACCTGTAGGTTTTTACTGAGCAAGGGCATTTTTTTTTAATTAAAGAAGCTTAGGAAAACTTGTTACAAACAACCAGTTATGAATGACAAGGAAATTACCCATGTGATTTTCTCAGTTGTTTTGCCTTGCGTACATTTTATGATTACTTTTTCTATACAACAGTCTTAAGCATTTTAATTACATATTGTCAAGTAAAAGAAAAACATAACAAAATTCCATTTGTTTTTTTAAAATATGAGTGTAAGTTCTTACTATTTGTTTTCTTTCCACACACAGTTAGAATTTCTTAAAATTTTAGGAATATACTGTTAAAAGCTTTAAAAAGTACTATTCGTTGAATAAGAATATGTTGTGAGACTTTTTTTTTTTTTTTACTTACCCATGCTGGCTATTATACTGTGTACAGGTAACCTAGAAGCTCCATGATAAGGTAATTTTGATTCATGGGGTTTTTTATGCTTTTCTTGCTTCTTAAAAGCAGAATTCTCTTCTTTGGTGATATTTATATAAAAACATGTATCTGTAGAACTCATGATATATCGAGGACCTGGATTCAGCAAAATGTTTTTGTTATCTTCCTTTCTAACACCAATCAGACAGACTCCAAACCTTAATTAGAAAAGGAAAGGCATGGTTCATTTTGCATAGTCCCATATATACCAGAATTTCCACTGTCAAAAATAAACCTCCAGTATATTTTTATATTTTGCAGATTATGAACATTTGCAGATTTTTGGATGACAAATATGTTTGAAAAATTTTGTCTCCTAAATAGGCCACTTCTGATCAAGGAGTTTTTATGAGCTCATGAATCCCTAGGCATTGGAATGCAGTGTTTTTCTTAATCCCCATAATATTCTTCTAATGCTGTTCCAGTTGATTTTTTTTTTTTGTTTCTGTCAGATTAATAGTCCCTTCTGGGAAAATAATAGTAGAATAATGGATATATAATATGAAAAAGTATTCATCATGTTTAATTGTTCCATTATTCATAGGTAATGGAAATAATTTTCAGAATTAATTTTTGTGATTCTCTCCTAGAAATGTATTTGATTAATGATAGAAAATAAGGAATAAAAGTAAAAAAAAAAAAAAGCTCTCACTTACTAAAATCAAAAAAATATGGTTTTATTTTGAACAATCACCAGAATGTAGCATGTACCACCTTTAAATTGAACATTTTGCATAAAATGAACACACCGCAAAGGAAGCCAGATTTCCAGTTGACTCCTAAATAAATAAAATAATAATAAAAAAAATACACTAACATCCTCCCACCCCATCCTTTTCTAGATTGTTTTGGACATGGAAAGAGACTGGTGTTCTCATATAACCTCTTTAAGGTACTATTTTTTTCTGGTTGTCAGGCTTATCCTATATATCCTTTATATTCTGTTCTCTCAGACTCAGCTGGCCTATACTGAACCACCATGAGCTTTTACCTAACCAGCTGTAACTTACAGAAAAAAATCCATGAAATATATTAGTGGCCAGATATTTAAACCCAGAAATAGACTAATGCATGTACTGCACCTTTGAATGCAGAGCTATGTTGCAGGGAAAACAAATAATTATTTGTTTGAACTTTTATTTGTTGATAGGAAAATAAACATACTTCTTATGTGCATGGAAAGAAGCATATGTGAAGCTTTTCCCCTCATACTCAGCAAAAAACATACTTTCTTCCAGGTTAATATGATACACCTCATTACCAGAGCATTTGCCATACATTTTCTGCCATTGTTCTGGTGATTGCTGACTCTCCCTGAAACATGTACAGATAAAGAGAATAATTTAAAACTCAATGTAAAATTCTTATTAGTCCTAACAGTATCTCATGGTACTAGAAGCTACAAATGTCTCTTAAAAAGGTCCCATAGGCTAATCTGAAAGAAGTATTTGAGATCAACGCTTGGTAATACTGTAAGTACAGAGATTATTTTAATGAATTAAAGAGCATTTTCTGCTAAGTAATAGGCATATAAGATTATGTAATTTAATATCAGGAAAGTTATAGCTGAATTACTTTAAATTTACACCATAATAAGTATATCCATTGCAATTTAGAGTTGACAGGTGAAACCAAGAGCATGGTCATTCTATTCATAAAGACAGTCTCTTCGGATGCTCCATGGTAGATTGTCTAGTTCCTGTTTAAAGTAGGTAAAGAATCTTTTAAAATAACTTCTGTAGGAAATACCCATTTGGCTTTGGTCACTTTATCTGTAAGAAAGAATTTTTTTTTTTTTTTTTTTGCATTTGCTTATCGATTATCTTCAGCATTTACCCTATGGACACTTTTTGTTATTGTGCTGTGGATACTATGACAAGTATATGCCTTCTTTAGTGTAAGAAAATAAATTATTACTTTAACCATATTAAGCATATCAACCTTTATGCAGCTAACATCCTTTATCCAAATTGACTATTAGTGGAAGTGTTCCAAACCTCAGCTAACGCCAAAGCTTGCAGACTTGGGGCTTCTGTGAACTTCTTTCTTTACTGAGTTTCATGTGGAAACAAGGTTCTGTCTGCATGAGTTTTACTGGATATAATGTATGCACATATACACACAGATAGGACATAAAACTAATAAATGTGCTCTTGCTACAAATGTAGCTCTTGCTACTTCCAGCTAAGATTGCAAGATCATAGAATCCTTAAGGTTGGAAAAGACCTTTAAGATCATCAAGTCCAACCATCAACCCAACACCATCATGCCCACTAAAGATATTGGGATATGCTCCTTTGTACTCATTTATACATGTTCAGTATCTTAATGCAATTTAGGGGTGTTTTTTTATTTACCATTCTTCTCCATCCTTGCTGTAGAAACATTTTCTTTCAAGATGGAAATAAGTAAACCATTTTTATGGTTATCGCAACAGTATTAAAAAACTATGCAATAGGAGTGGAATAGCAGAAATAGAAATGTAATTACAGCAGAAAATTTTTCCATATTTCACTTTTCCCCTTAAATTAAAATGTTCACCTGTTTAAAGTCTGCTTGGTTCCAGTTAGTTGTCGAAAAGCTTCCCATGGGGCTGTTCTGTAAAGATCACATCAAGTTCAAGTCAGAAAGGCTATTTTCTTCCGATATCTTGTATCATATTACAAACCCTAATAAAGCTCTATTACTAGGTTAGATAATTAGATAACATTTAAAGATAAGTATTCAGAATAATAATTGAGATCAGTAAGAAATTATAAGTAAGATTAAAGGTAGAATTTTGGTGTCTTACAGACTGAGGTTTTGAATTCCAGAAAGAGCTGAGAAGACAATGGGTTTATTTACATCTAGTTTGTTTAATCTGAAAAGTAGTATTAAAGACCAAAGCCAGTTCACATAAAGAGCAGCAAACTTCACCTTAATTTTAATAGCAAGTTGATCTGACAAAAGTTGCTTAGAAAATGAAAATTTTCCCCAGTGTCCTCACATAATAATACCAAAAGACAAAGTGTTCTTAATTTACATACGTGTGTTTGTTTACAGTTTATTGTATTATCATTCTAATTAGGATAATAGAGAATAATTTTTTTTCTTGTGTTCTGCTTTTATGTATTGCATTCAAGTTCCAGTAATTTCCCAGTGTACTTATCTTCATGAGTATCAGAAATGACCTTGTATTATTAAGAGTGTCACACTATTTCTTAATGAATACGGGCAATAGATTCCCTGGGGAATAGGTGGCATTTCACTTGTAAGAGTACAACAAACAGCTGGGACAATGTTTTATCCATAAACTGTCAGTGAACTGTTTAATACATTAAAATGCAAGTCCCTTCGGTTAAGACCATAACTTCACTAAATTAACAAATGTTAAGAAGCTAGAATTTGAAAGTGGTCATATTTTCCCTTAAAGAATGACTTTTGCTTTTTGTCATTTCCCTGGTAAAGAAATGTTCTGGTCATTTCCTTGGTAATCTGCTCTAGTTACATGCACCTAAAATACTGTGTAAAAGAAGACACATTCCTTGTAGAATGGAAAGGTATAGGTAGCCATTTGAACTTGGTTATCTGTGGTAACAACTTGAACAAATGTTCTCAGTCACTATATTGAAGTTACCAAACTGGTGAGTCAAGAGATAATGGGGCTTCTGTGAATGAAAACATGAACTAATTATTAAGAAAATCTTGCCAATGACTTTGAATAGACTTTGAAAAGATTATCCAAGGCCATAAGCAGTTGATTGATTGGTGTCTCCCCATAATCCAAGTCTGTTCTTTTTCTATAAGGAAGTCAATACTGACAGGGATTTAAAACTCAAGTTCTAAATAAAGTTTAATGCAGGTGCTGGTAGTAACCAGGGTAATGAAAGGATAATGAAACAGGATCCAATGTAAAGAAAAGCAGTTCACTGTTAACATTGGAAGTCTATTTAACAAATACTTTTCATTATTTAGATCTAACTTAGTATTTAGCTTGGATATAAATGCGTGTACAGCTAAAATTTTTATTTGTAATTTACATGATATATTTTCACTTAATCTGTTTGCTTATACTTAGCCAAACTCCGATGTTCATCTGACTTCATCTTTCATATGCATAAATGTAACTTAACTTATTTTAAGAATTAGCAGTTAATTTACCTATTGTTCAACATTAGAAAATAGCTAGAAAAGCCAAAACACTTATTCTGATTTATAAATTAGTCAAATCCAAAGCAGATTTATGCCTGCAATACAATGACAACCTCTAGATGAAGCTCAAAACTGACACCTATTTTGAAACAGATTTCCCCCTGAAGATAATGCAGTGCAGAATCATTTGTTTTACTAACTGTAAATAGTTAGTGCAAGTCTCAGGAGATGCTTATGAAGAATGTAAGTTTAAAAGGAATTTTCCCTCCAAAACATTAGTGTATACTCAACAAGAAAGTTTGCAAATAAATTTCTTTACTTAAATCTGCTCTTTAAAAGCATTATGCTTATACCTGTATCTAGCTATGAGTTTATTTTAGTTAGCAAGTGTTGAAATCAATTATGGTATTGCACATAAAAATTATGACTAAAAAAGTAAAGTAAGATTGATAAAATTGGGACATTGAAGTGGTAATTCAGGAAAGAGAAATTATTTTCAAATATTTAAATATTGTCTTTTTTTTTTTCAATTATGTGTGATTACTGCCCTTTGAGCTTAGAATAATATATTCAAGAGGTGCATGCTTGTTAAAAATCAATGGTTAAATCTCTGGTTGTTAAAGTTCATCTTAACTAAATGTTCAAGGACACAAAACTTCCAGATTAATCATGGCCTACATAACACTCAGTTATAAGCAAAAAGTAAGCTCAAGTATACCATTACTTATGTTTCCAACAGCACAGTAGGGTTTTTTAATTAGATCAAGAGCAGTCTAGCAAAAAGATAGCTTTGTGCTCATTGTTGAATTTTGAATGCTTAACTTGGTGACTTTTATTATATGTTGAACAGATTTGTGCGCTTGTACAAAACCTAATAAGAAATTAAAATGACAGTTAAATTAGACTTTTGTGAACGTATTCCAGCATTTCCAAGGGATTTTAAAAAGTTGTACGGAATAAAAGGGGAAAAAAACCCCACTACTTTGGGAATTATGTACCTTTTTTTGTGTGGGAATTACATAAATGTTTAAATGTTTAAAAGTTCAAAAATGAACTTAAGATAAGTAGCAAAAATATTAAATTTGAAAGCTTAGGAAGTGACATTTTGGGAGATAAATACTTGATTTTTTTGAAGGTTTTTATTTTTAGCACTGTGAAGTCAAGACTATTCAAATTTAAAATATTTTTGAAGTTTTTTCCCTCCAGTGCATCAGTTTTAAACGTTCAGAGATATAGTGTGGTTTTAAAGAACAGCCATATCTATTCAGCCAATTAGTCCAGCATTAATACACATGCTCTAAGATGTCCAAAGTTTGCCATCTTCTGGTATTTTGGAGCCCATGTGAGATTAAAAGCTCTGACGAACGTTGACTGAAGTTGAAGAATGACAACTAGGGTGTTTTTTCACTTTTCTAGTCTTTCTGTATTTATACAGCAAGTTTGCATGTTTCTGTGAGAAGGATTCAGACTAATGCTGACAACTATACAAAGCAGTTACTTCAACAACCCTGATCACATCAATTAATTCTTGACTGCAAAAGAAATAGTAAGTGCTTTTGCATTCTCCTATGGTTGCATCATAGTTTGGAATTTGTATAAATGATCAATATGCCTGTGTTAAAAATAAAAGGCTAAAGTTCTTAAGTACAGCAGAACACAGAGTCCCCTTCATATGTCTGGTTTTATGTTGATGGAAAATTCTCTGCTAGCTGTTAAGAATACTGCTGCTCTTTTATGTACATACAATATGAAATAACTAAAAAAGGCTCTGAATTCTGTGCATGTCAGATAATGAAAGCTAGACAGGTGAAGAATGCATTTCACCATGATTCTCAGGAGGCATGGAAACATTATTTTGTTGTCTTATTATCAGATTCTAGTACAGACGGTGCCATTAAAATCTTTACATTTGTTATTCCTGATAGTAAAAGTTCTAGCAGTTATTTCAGTTTTCCCCATGCTAGGCACAGGAGAAGACTACCAATGCCATATAGAAGGTTAAATAACTCTGTAAATATCAAGATATTACTGGGTACATGGTTACTTGGAAAAAAGTATGCCTTTTTACTAGACTCTTAAACTTATTCTTGTGCGGTCTATATCCATGTATTCCGTTTCTATAGATACATTTTGGATATTTATTCTTGAACGCCTCTCTCTGCCAAAAACTTTTTAATAAGAATACCTTGTTCCTCCAAGAATATAGCATAACAGAGATATACTAGATGTGGTAAAATTTTATGGTAAATATAGACAGGTTCTGCAACTATGCAGTCTGTAGAGACACCATAATTCTGTAGGCCTTCCAGCAGCATGGTGGTTATGTTAAAACCCATCTCTTCATATGTATGTTTCCTTGCTTCATAACGTACAGGCACTGAATAGCAAATAGTATTTTATATGTTATCAGAAAAACATTTTTGGAGCTCAGTGAATAGGTATTTTTATCTGTTTACAAAAATAGACCTTCAAATTAACATATTAAAATAGGAATTCTTGGGTCTTGTTGGTGTTCTTAAGTAGAACTGTGTGATAGATCCGTGATTCAATCTACTAAAGTGGAAATACATATTTTTCGTATTTATCGTGGAAGTGGCACAATAGCATGCAACAAGTTGTTAAATATTGGGTTGGGGAGTTCCTCTTTGAAATTATAATAACTTGAGTAGAACCTCTAGAACACTTTTTTTTGTGGAAAGTTCCAATTTCTTTTTTAAAAATGTAGTTGTTTGGGAGTTCAGGGTAAACTATTTTCCCAAGAATATCGGCTATACCTTTTACAATGTTCTGGGGTTTTTTTAATGGTAGTATATACTTACTGTCCCCTAGATGTATGAACCAGCAGCGTGATTAATGTAGAGGTGGCTGGGCATATACAATTTAGAGCTATACCTTTTACAATGTTCTGGGGTTTTTTTAATGGTAGTATATACTTACTGTCCCCTAGATGTATGAACCAGCAGTGTGATTAATGTAGAGGTAGCTGGGCATATACAATTTAGAGCTAGCATAGCATATTTGAATTCCTCTTCACATACAACATGATCTGCAGAAAAAAAGAAGATAGAAATTGTTTTACAAAACTACTTTCTGTTAGACAGAATTATCCCTTCCTTTCCTTGTCTAGGAAAATGGTGAAGATAGGGACAATCAAAAGTGGCCTCCAGATCTTCATCTTCCACTTGAACCTGAAGAGCAGCTCTGTGTGATGTGTCCCATCTATACTGTCTCTCAGATGGCATACGGAGAGTTAATTTTGCATTCAGGTAATACTTTCTGTCCTGCAGCTACACATGGAGAAGATGTAGTGGCTCTGTGAAACCCACTTCCACTATCTTGCTGCACTAGTTGTATGAGTAAGCCCTGTAGCATAGTCTAGTCTGTATTTTTTGCATGTTCTGCAGTTTTGCATAAACTGCTATAGAGGCATCAAACATTGTAGAGATATAATTTTATGTTCAGGAAATAGCACACATAAGATACTGCAGTGCAGGGGTGCTGATCAATTAGGCTGTACTGGCTTGCAGACTGGTTATTTGGCAGTGGGTCTGGGATTTTGCACTGCACTTCAGTGCATGATGTAGATTTGACTAATATCTCCCCCAGGAACTGCTAACAGCTGCTACCTCTAAGCAAGGGGGGTGGTTGTTTTTTTCTTTTCCAGTTTTTTACAACTTAGCATTATTTTTACTTTACAAGAAAGTATGTCTGCCCATTAGTACTTGCTGTGATAGAACACTACTATAGACATACCTATGTTTTTGTCTTTTAATGGAATTTAGGGGAGGGGAAGTGAGAAGAGAAAGCAACAGAGACATATATAGTCCTCTATATTGGCTTATAATTAAAACTGCCAAATCTTCTGCACATGCTTTCTGTATTGTGTGGATTATTATTGAACTTGGATGGCTAGTGCTTAAAATTCAGATCACAGTTGAATGTTCTTCAGTGCTGGTGACAGCATGAAAAGGAAATAGAAATTACTCTTCAATTGTATACCTGTGAGAGTATTAAAATAGATATATGAAGGGATAAGCACAAAACTTGAAACTTCAACTTCTTGTCAGGGTAGAAACTTGGTCATGAAGGTTTTCTAAGGTCATTAACACATTTATTGCATGCTCAGTAAATTTTTTTTCCATCTGAATTTAGTGTTTGATTCAGTCTACGTTACTTTCAATGGGAACAGAATTTGCTTCTGATGGGAAAGAATAATACAGGTATTACAGCTAATGATCAAAACATAAGCCATATGAAAACTGCTGAGTAAAAGTAAGCAAATAATCTCCCCACCTAGTTCTGAGCTATCTACATAATTCTACTTTTAGCTGCACTAATGTATCATTGAAATCCTTAGAACCACCTTACCTCTCTAAGCAAGCTACTTTCTAGAAAGAATTTATAGTATAGCTATAAGCACGCCATTTACTGAAAACAAGTAAGGGCATACTTTGGGTGTCTTCTCTATTCCTTTTTTTGAAATTTCTAGAGGCTTTTCAGTGACAGAATCATTGACTACTGAAGGGAGAAAGTAATTCTCTCATTTTCTGAAGATCAAGGCCTATTTAAATGTTATTGAGAAGGAAAGAATTTAGTTCTGTCAAATATAGAACAAAATTAGATTTTTTTTCCTCCTCTAAGTATATTTCAGTTATTGCAATTAAATATTTCCTGCAGAAAATATTTCAGACAGAAATGTGTTCTTTTAGTTGACTATGTGCCATTAATAAACCTATATGAATTTTAAACTAGAGATTTTGAGAGAGTAAGGCATAGTCTGCTGCTCGGATGGAATATCTGCATTCCATTACCATTAGTCAGATGGCAAAGATTTATGAAAGTGACTACTGACTTCGTGATATTGAAGGAATGAGAATTCTCCATATTTTTTAATTTGTATAGGGTTTTCTCAAGTAACCTCCCCTCACTTTTTTAGAATGTTCTTATATTATAGCTAATACTTTTGAAAATAGCGGCAAGAAAAAATGTACAGGAAATTTATTTCATCATTCTTCAAGTCTTGTAATTGAACCAAATTGTACATGATGAACAAAATATATTTAAATGAAAATGAATAAATCATGGATGGCACAATACAGTTCAAAAGTATATCTCAGACTTAAATCCTCCATATGTTCTATACTCTCTAATGTATATGGTGAAATTTTTGGATTGATTTTACGTAAAATATCCTGTTAACAGAGAATATAGCATACAGCAAACAGATTGCTGTCCTACAATAGTCAACTTAATCTCATATGTGTAAGAGATTCATGTTGTGTCATCAGGTGGTTTTACATCAGGAGCCATGGAGCTGGGACTCACAGGGCTATTTCCACTCCTATTGTAGACTTAGACCTTGTGTGAGTTATTTATGCCCTTCATGACTTTTTATGCATCTCTAAAATGGGTATATGAAAATAATACCCTACCTACTTCAGAGGTGTTTTGAAGCTTTTGAATTCTTAGATGTACTTTGAGAACAGTTTCACCATGTGACAGATTCTTCAGTAATCTAATTACCATGATTTTAAATACTGTAGCTATTTGAAACATGGAGAGGTACTGTGGGGTTCTCCTTGGCTGGAATTAAGTTCTTGTATTACACACAGATCAGTCAAAAATTACTTGCTCATTTCTCCAATTATTTGACAGATCATAGCTTGCATATGATGTCACTGTCTTTTATGTTCAGGACTCTTATTGGGGAGCTGTGGTGAGGGTTACACAGAACTCTATCAGATGCTTTCTCTTCTGAAGCGAGTAGGGAGGAAACTGGGTGACAGCTTTCCCACTCCTCAGGTCTGGGACATCAATCAGGTCCTGTGACAGTGGGTACTAGAATAAACAAATTATTCAGTATGGCAGTGAAGCAGCAGAGGAAACAACTGCAGTTTATCTTGAGATTAATATTAAATATGTCAAATCAGTTTACCAGACAGAAGTATTTTGATTGCATTTACACTAAAGAAATATTCCATTTTGAATTTCCAGAAGCTGTAGTTTCTGTTGAAAATATATTTTGACAGAAAATTTGTTGCCAAGTCTGTCTCAAATAGATGTAGCAATGCAGTACAGTCAGTTATGTCTTCTGTAATATTCCTGAAGATAAAACATACTCAAAATACTGACTTAAGTCTGCAGCATCAGCCATGTGGCAAGAATGTCCCAGACCTGACACAATTATTCTGAGAAACCTTACTTTTGTCAGTTTGATAAATTAACATGATCACTACTAGACCATATAGAGAAAAATGCCCCATCCATTATCTCTAGACTATTTTTATCTGTAATTGGATAGATTAATCATCAGATGCATTCAATATCCATTTTGGTGAGTCTGGACTGTATTCCTTTCATATCAGCTACTGAAGGTGTAATGTCAGACTTCACCAGTCTGTGCTAATTCATTGGTGCATTTTGAATAAATAGAGAATGTCAAAATGTATCCCGAGTTTCTGTAACTCTGATTATTCATAATTTCTGAATATTCAAGGTAAACGTGATTAATTTATTTTCTAGCAAATATGTAAAAGTTTTAAGTTCAACTCAGAAAATATGCAATTTACTCCAGTTTCCGAATTGTATAAATATATTGCTCTGCTGTGGACAATCTTCACATTATTTCATGTTTGTGCTGAAATGCAAGGCCAGATGCATGCATTAAGGGTACATAGCCTTTTGTAGCCCTGTGTATTTGAAGGAAAAGCAGGAAAATCAGGAAAATCATATGTAACTGCCAGTGAAAGAAAATGCAGTATTACTGCAAGAAAAAAACAGACATGTCAAGGCATTTGAATATTGGAAATTACTAAGGAGTAATCAAAGCATTTTCTGCTTAAGATATAAGACTGTTAATAATGGTGGTACGGTGTTTCCTTGCCCATCCGATATCTGTCATGTTGGAGTGACTGTATATTTGTAGAATGTTCATGCCTTAAACTTGCAAAGGAGCTTGGGACAAGCACTTACGCCCTGTGCTTTTTAGATTCCACTGCAGAATCATATTCAAGCACAGAGAAATATTTCCACTGTATTAATACTGGTGCAAGTTACTATGTTAAACAAAGTAGTTAAACTCCACTGTAAAAAATAACAGAAAACACAGGATGCAAAGGTGTGTGTCTGACATCAGGTGAAGAGACAGGAAACCTGCCTTTCTGGCAGGCCATATTGCCTTGTACAAAGTGTCTCTGTTCTCTTGCTGTAATAAGTTCTTGTACTCTCATTAAAGAGAGGAAGAATATAAAATTCTTGTCTACTAGATGGGAATAAATTATAACAATTACTTGTCTTATATACTGTTTCTGAAGCCTAAGGCAGAAAATCTCCAGGATGTTATTCTATGGGAAAATGCAACCAGGGTCTAAATTTCAGAACTGTCTCATGCAACCCAGGACAACTAGTCATCCTAATTTAAGCTGCTGAGAAACTGGGCTTCTAGCATTGTATAAATTTTCAGTGTAGTTAAAAGTTAAACTTTTGTTAGGAGGACTTTCCAGAACTCCTTGGTTGTATTTTTTCTAAATTCAGAAACTTACTTTTTGGCAGTTATAGTCTCTAAACCTGTGTGTAAAGAGAGAAGAAAAAAAAAAAAAGAAATCCTATTACTGAATATTTCAGGTTCATAAAAACACACAATATTGTTTTGGGGAACCTCCAGAAGGAAGGAATCATTTTTTTAAAGGAATATCAAATTTAAAAGAAGATTTTGCATTAAGGCAGTAATAAAGCAGTCCTGAATTATAATAGGAAAAGCACTTATGGAACATTTTTCTATGCTTATGATAAATTTTATTCGTAAGCAGTGTGGACAGGCCTATAGTCTGCAGCCCTCACTGGGTACGTATTTCAGAATGAAGAAGAGTTGGATGAGATTAATAACGGAAGTAGAGTCCTCTTAGGAAAATGTATGCAAACAAATATTGTTCTCATGACTTTATCAGTGGCCTAACCATTTGCAGTAGGTAAGCATACAGTGGTGATGTTTATACCATGTTTGTAACCTTGCCGAATTTAAAAAGACATTAAACATTTTCTGTGCTTTATATGAGCAAGATTAAATTAATCTTGAAGGAAGGCTTGTAATTGCTTGTACTGTTGTGCAGAGAGAATGTGTGGAAATCAATGCAGTGACCCTATGATCTATGTGAAGTTCTTTTGGGATGTAAGATGCTATATAAATATTTAGACTTACAATAGAGTACTACTGTAATTAATATTGGGGGGGTCTAATGAAGCACAGGTGGTCTCCTCAAGCCCTTGAAGAACTACAGAACATAAATGAAACCAGTAAGATACCAGATTGGTTAAGCTCAGTTGAGGGAAATATTACAAAAAGAGGTTGTGGGGTTTTGTTGTTTGCCTGGTTTTTTTTTTTTTTTAAATGGTCCCAATTCTCAAACTGAGACTTAGAACAGATATGAAAAATTACCTCTGTTTTGCAACTCTAGTTATACATAAGCTCCTACTGAGACAAGCCATTAAAAATAATGAAACTCTCTTGAAAAGACAATTAGGAGCAACAAATTAGCACAGTTACTGATAAAGAAAAGCGGCCGTGGCTAGGGAGAAGAGATTTTGTGCTGTGTGGTTTTAAGGGGGAGATGATGCGACATCATTCTTGTCGCAGCAGGAGCCTTATTCCCCGCTGTGCCATCTCATAATTTGAGATTATACTTTTATAACTTCAGAACTGCTATTAATGATTTTTCTTTTCTTTCCAACCTAGTGGTAAATTCAGTAGCTTTTAAAATTACAGCTTTAACTGTTACTCTGGAATTGTTCTGCACTGGAATTTACTTTTTCATCACATTCTGGGATGATGGGGGAGACTAATATTTTTTCCATAGAGTTTTTTTGAATTTTGTTTCTTGAATCAGCAATCCTTTCTTCCTTAGAATATCCATCAAGAAAATTGAATTTTCAAAATTACAGTTGAAAAGGAAAGCTTTGCTTCTACTTCATATTTTTCCAATGATAGGCAAAATGAGTTAATTATAAAAGTATTTGCGTGGTTTTATGCATGAGCATATATGTCTGTATGTACATATATATGTGTATGTATGCGTGTGTTTATAGACAATGAGAGAGAGAAACCTACCTAAAGAGAGAAACAGTTTGTCAAACTAAAGCTGGGAATCTCTTATAAGAGAGGATTTGTTTGGATTTCTTACCATCATTTTGCATTTTGTCACAGATTCTAAGACACATATTTTACTGGATACAGAATTAAATCATATGTTTATTTCAAAAATATTTGAAATTAATTAAAATAATGTTTTTCATAGCACTTAGAAAACAGTCCAATGGAAAAATTATCTTTTTTCAATTGTTTGTTGGATAAAATTTGGCCTTTTCTGAGCAGATCTTCTCATATTCCCCTTAGTAAAGGTATGTTTTAGTAGACAGAGATTTCATTTCATTTAGAAATTATTTAAAGACATAGATATAGCAAACTGGAAACCTACCTGGATCTATAATTAAGGACTAACGATGTGTTACATATCAAATAATTCTACTCTGTATGTTATGTAATGTGAGAGTAATAATCCTTAAAAGTGCTTATAAATTAGACTTTAATGTAAAACATGATATTTTACTATTGATAGGAAATATACAGCCCATGTTACTTTATAATACTGCACTCTTAATCAGCTTCTAACCAGTAAATATGTCTAGGGAATCTCACTTTGCTTGTGTGTTTATGAAACAAACTGCCAAATACTAACAAGTGTTTCAAATGGCTGAAATCTTACGCTTACCTGCAAACTTGATGTGGAATTTATTCTCAGGTTTCAGTATTTGGACATACAAAGGACAATTTGGAGCAAAGTCTTTAACTGCCCATGCTCTTAAAATGGTTTGATGATCCTAGGATAGAGAGTATGAGGTGACGACAATGAAATATAAATAACCATGTTACATTAGAAAAAGAATCTCTTACCAGACTGACACCATTGAAGAAAACTCATTTTAAGACACCAGCTGGTGTGGATGTTTACGTACATGTTGTATAAGTAATATTACCTATTTTGTATATTACATATATGTAAATACATAAACATATACACACACACAGACAATCCAGTAGTTCTGCAGACACAGACAAGGCTGAGGTACCCTCAGTATTCACCAGCAAGGAGTCTCAGGCTACTGCTTTGAGGCAAGTTTCAAGCAGGAAGAGAATCATCAGTAGCAAATGATTTAGACAGGGATTGCTCCAAAGAACTCAACACATATGAGCCCACAGGATCAGATGGGTGCAGAAGGAGGAGGCTAACGTCCTTGCACAGTTGCTTTCTTACCTTTGAAAGGTTGTGGAGACTGAGGGAAGTCTCCAACAACGGCAGAAAAATGAATAGTTTCACTCATCTTCAAACAAATGGATGATCTGGGGAGTTATACCTCTGGGCAAATACATGAATGCTCTGTCTCAGACAGTATTCTCATTTCCACATTCAGACATTACAGTCTGGATAAGTGAAAAACTATACTGGTAAAATGTTGGTTAGATTATTGGAGTCTTAAGGCAGTGGTAAATGGCAGGTACTCTATCCAGAGACCTGGGGCAAGTGGAGTGTCACAGGGCTCTGCACTGGAACCTCTTCTGTTAAACATCTTTATCCATGACTTGGAGGAGGAAAAAGAGTGGATATTCAGCAGGTTTGCAGATGATGACCCTAAAAGGTCCTTTTCAACCCAAAGATTCTATGATTTTATGATACCAAACTGGAGAGAACCATTAAAACACTTGAGGGTAAGACTACCATTCAGATGGACCAAGATGGAGGAATGGGCTGCCAAGAACTTAATGAAATTCAGCAAGGGCACAGAGTCCTGCCTCTGGGGCTGAGTAACCACCTACATTGGCACAGGCTGGGGGCTGACTGGTTAGGCAGCAGCTCTGCTAGAAAAGACCTGGAGGTCCTGGCAAAGAGTGAGCTGAGCATGCGTTGGCAATGTGCCCTGGCAGCAGAGGAGGCTGTCAGCAATCCTGCGCTGTTTTAAGAGGAGCACAGTGAGTAGACAGAGGGCAGTGATTATCCCCCTGTACTCAGCACAAAATCTAGACACTGCATCCAGTTTTTTGGCCCTCAATACAGCAAAGACCTGGAGAAGCTGGACTGAGTTTGGCAGAGGGCCACCAAGATGGTCAGGGTAGAAGCAGAGGCCCTGTGAAGAGGCTGAGGGAGTGAAGCTTTCAGCGTGCAGATGAGATGGTTTCAGGGAGACCTAACAGCAACCCCCAGTACCTATGGGATGGTTATTGAACAGATGGAGACAGGCTCTGCACAGTGATGCATAGTTGGAAGTCAAGAGACAATGGATATAAGTTGAAAAGAGAGATTCAGGCTGGATATAAGCAGAAACCTTTTCCCCATTAAGACAATAAGGCAGTGGAACAGGTTGTGCAGAAAGCCTATGCTGTCTCGAGCCTTGGACACTTTTACACCAGCCTAGATAAAGCCCTGAGCAACGTGGTCTGGTGGTCTGTGTTCATAACTGACTCCTGTCAGACTAGACACCTCCTGGTCTGTGTTCATAACTGACTCCTGTCACATTAGAGACCTCCTGAGCTTCCTTCCAACCTCCATTATCTTACAATCCTGGTATAATATTTCTATTTGTTGGAATGGAAAATAGAGGGCTTGTTTCCAGGAACCTTCTACTAATAAGGTATTTTGTCCCTCACCTATCTTTCTGCAAGTGTTAGGGATTGTATAATTTAGAAGAGGGGCATTTGGATGTGGAATAATTATGTGCAAACTTAGATGGTCGTGATGAGTCATGTCTAATTAATCAGGAATGATATATTAGATATGGCCTTCCAAAGAGACTCAGAATTTAAATAACATTAAATGAGGGCATCAGGAATTAAGAGTTTAAAATTGTGGGTAATTCTAAGAAATATCAGCTCAATTAAAAACAGGTCTACATTTCTGTGCAACTAAAACATTTGCATAACTGCTGTCAGAATTTAGCCAGCTACTGACCAAAGGATTCCAAGAGATTTCCTAGCCTGTTAGTTTTTGTACTTGTTACCACATGTCAAGAGTGAGTTAACCACAGGATGAATACTGTCCCATAAAAGTAACGTATGTGAAAATACATTAATATATTGAATTTAATGAAATATGGCTAATTTTAGTGTATTTATATATTTTAATATGTTAATATTAAGTATTATTTATTTTAATATGTATTTATATTTTTAACATAAATATACTACAAAAACTGTATTCATCAGTTTTTATTTCAGAACCAAAAAGGAATATTTGAGAGCTGCATGTAGGAAGCAATGCTTCAGTTGAAATGCCTTGCCTAGTCATGAAATTGGTGGTATTAAAAGATAAAATATAAAGAATGATTCATTATGTTTGCAGTATCAGCAATAAGAAAAGCTTTCAGACTCATGAACACAAGGGAAAATCTCTGCCTGGAACAGAGCATAACTGACATTTTCAAACCATAATATTTTAATGTCAGTTGAGATGTTAGTAAGTATTTTTCTACTAGAAATACTAGAATGGAGTCATAAGAGAAAAACCTTTTGAGGATTGGAAAATACATTATTTCACATTTTTCTTATTAACAGTTTCATAGATGTAGGATTGCTGTGCCCATTCAGGAGATTTAAGAACTGCTATAAGCTTTCCTTGTACGCAGTCACTTTTTCTTCATTTTTTCTATAGCATATGGTGACTTCTCCTTCTTAAGGTGTTTTTTTTTTTATTTAGAGTTTTTTGCTGTTTTGTCTTAAGGTAATGAAATGTCAACGCACCTTAGAAGTAGCAAATGGCTGGGCAATGGGTCATACAGATTATACTATAGAGGGAGGAGTAACAAGTTTGGGAGTGGATTTGGGACAGATTTGAAAAACCTGTGTTGTTGAAGACATTACCTAATTTTTTTTTTTATCCAAAAGGTGTCAGTGAAACACATTCAGAGTCACTTGCAATGATGATATGGCTTCATTGCACAAGGTTTGATGTTACCAGTTTCCTCCCTTCCTTTCCATAGCAATCATCCACAGACCACAGTGGCTTGGAAAAGTGTGACAAAAGGCTGTTTCTTGTATGCCACATGCATAGAAATATAGCTTATATTCAATAAAATTTACGTGAATTTTTTTTTTCATTCTTGAGTACTACATACATGAGCTAAGATTAAATTTACTGTGATAAACTGAAACTGTACTAGTAAATACAATTTTGGTTGTACATTTCAGACTAAGTTTACTCTTGCTCTTTTCAATGTTAGATTTTTTTTTTTAATTATTTTGTCTAAAAAGCCTGGTTTTGTCAGAGGGTACAAGAATTGTTCAAAATAACACTGAAGCATGTTTATTAAAATTATTCAAATTACACCATTTTATTAAAAAAAACAGCAATCATACCTAGACCCATAGGAATGAGTGTTGTAAAACTAAACGTATGAATCTCAACAAAAAGTGTTTTTAGATAATTGTATAGGAAAGGGAAAGACTCCTCAAAATGAAAATATCTTGATGATTATTTGGCACATTTGCAGTTTTAACACTGTAAAATATGTAGTGCTTTCCATTTGCCAATTCTTTTTTGAAGAAACAGTCTACAAATATGTAATTTATATAAAATTGATACTTAAATGCCCTATATAGCTTCATTACATCAACTCAGTGTGTAGGTACTGTTAATATAATGATCTTGCATTATTGTTTCATTTTCTCTCTTTTCACTTGGTATATACATGTGTTTGTGTACAAAAGCTGGTGGTTTGTGTTTCCGTGGTTTTTTTTGCTCAGTTACTCTCCCAAATTCCACTCTCGAGAAGCACTCCAGGGGAGAGAAATTAAAATACAGATAGGCGCTTTAAGTGATTTCTTAGTTTCAGTCTCTTCATATAGTACTGGTGACTCTGTTTTACATATGTAGCATATATATGTATGTTTATATACATATATATTGCAGTGACTTTAAAAAATATTCACATATCTCCCAAGTAAAAAGGAGGTATATATGTGCATACTATAAACAGAGGTAACAGAAATGAAATTATGCTTCTATCCACCTTATAAAATATATGCTGCTTTGGGAGGTGAGGGAAAAAAAAATATTCTCTTCTATGTTCTTTCCACACAATGAATTGCAGTCAGTGATAAAAAATTACCACTGACACCAATGATGCTTAATATAGACGTGACACTTAAGTTCATGTATGAAAAGCTGTAAGTTTTGAAGTGTTCATAACAGGAATTTAAATCATCAGAACTCAAAACAAGACCTTGATTTAATATATATATTTTAAAATAGTTCTGTTAATTTTTTTCGTGCCACACATGACTTGATAAATTAGTTATATCTTCCTATGCAATGCATCCATCTTGTGATGCTATTAAGGCCATGTAGCTTAGATTACCAGTATAGTAGCGTCATGCAATCGATTAATGGAAGAGGAAAAAAATAAGGTATTTAATAAAGCATCAGAACAAAGCTATCAGCAGCAGAAGTGGTCTCATATATTTATATAGTCTATTAATGAGTTATATATAGGATAATTCAGAAGAGACTTCTCTTCCCACCCCTCCTTGGGTTAAAAGAGCAGATGCACTGTTTTCAGGCACCTTAGTTTTGTGGAGCAATTTGATGTAGGCAATGCATTGAAGTCACTGGCTCACTTCATGGTGTGGCACAGACTACTGTTCTACACCAACTGATTGGAGCAAAAAAAAATTGTCATCCAGACTTAATTACAATTTGAGTTGCATCCGTCAGAAGTGAAACAGGTGTCCTGCTTGCTATAGCAGATGAGCAGCTTACATCTTGGTCTGAGATGTCAAAATAGCAGTTGATAGAATAAAATTTGGCAGAGCTTTGTCTTGCCAGAGAAGATAAAGTTTCTGGTATAAGACTTTGGAAAGCTGACAGATTCTTGGTCTGACTGTTGAAGTTCCTACTTCTTCAAGTGAAAAATAAGTCACTGACAATTATCATGAAGTAACTGCATGTCACCTCTTATTGTACTTTTCTTGTGAGCTATAGTTGAGATCCATGGACCAGAAGCAACACTGACTTTGGCACTAAAACTTCCTAACTGATAACATAGCAAGCAATGAACAGTCAGAGGTATCTACGGCAAATGAGTGCTAAGGACTGTAGCTGGGGAGATAAAAACCCTCATGGACTTTGAAAAATCACATGAGTAACAACAGCTGTTCTGGTTGGGAATCTCCTCAATGCATCTGTTAACATTTATTTTGATGGCTGTCATACATAGGAGAGGATCCAAGGAACTCCTAACAGTTTGTCAGCTTCTCAAGCGCAGCAGGGTGAAAAATCAGTTGTAGTTATAAAGATTGATATTGGAATGATAACTCAACTTCTTTCAGCCCAGTGAAAAAGACTGTAACTTTACCTACTATGTTACTGAAGTTCTTGGTAGTAACTAGAGCTGGAATAGTGTAGGAAATTAAATCCATTTCATTTCAGAGCTCTAGAGGGCAGTAAAATAAAACAATATTAAAAAGAAAACAGTTGTCCTATTTTCTACTTGCAGTATAAATAATTGCATTCCCAGTAAAAAGGAAATCTGAGCAATAACAACAGAAAGAGGGGTGACATCACATTTAAAAATGTCAGATGACATTGACCTTCAGAGTATCACTGCTACAGCTGAGCTACTGCATCATTATGACCAGCCAGCCAGTCACCCAACAGGGCTTTCTGTCCCAGAGGAATGTAACAGGATCATGTCTTTGGTAAGATTTGCCTGTTTGTGTGCTCCAGATAAAATGATAAATGAGATTTGATTAAAGTCTGTACTGGAAGCAGAAATGTGCCACGTACCATTTTGGTACTTCCTGGGACACACTGTCCCTGAGGGCAGAAAGGCTGCCTGGAGAGAGTTGTACCTGGTCACAACTCTGAAACCAAAACTAGATAGTGCTGGCCAGAATGGATAGAAGCTCCATGAGCTCCATGTAGAGTCCACTGTCTGCCCTGTAGGAGAGTTTGGCAGAGCTGAAAATTTCCCTTTCTTTGTATAAATTTTGGAAAGGTTATGAGCAGAGATGAACAGTTTACCTCTAAGTGAATCGTGTGTCAGTGCAGCTGTCCTTAAAGCTGCATAAACCTACCAAACCCAATGTAAATCCCATGCTCTGCTTCTATGGGATATCTCATTTCTAACCATTTCACAACTGTCAAGTATATTTTGTGAAATGAGATGTTGTAGCTGATTTATGCTGAACTTTGTGGCTAATTTAGGCAATGCACTTTGTCTTTTTTGTATTTTTCAGTCTCATAAAAGTTACCAGGATTTTCCCAGGTATTTGCAAGAACTGTTTCTTGTTCTTATCCTTAAATACCCTAGCACCTCTGTCACTTCCAAAGAGTACCTTCTGAGTGCTTGCCTTACTTGACTGCTCCAGGATTACTAGCTGCCAATTCAGTGGCTTTCGCTAGTGTGTTTTCAAGAATCTACTGTTGATTAATCAAATTCAAAGCTCTTAGTTCAGTAAGCTTGAATGTTATAGTAGGAGCACAGATCTATTTCTCGTGCAGTTCAGTGGCTTTCTGTAAGTGATGGGTCCAGCACAGGGTCTTCAGCTTTGAATAAAATATTTTTAACAGCATGCTGATAGTCTACAAAAAATTGTTATTTTTGCTTCTGGGGCTCATTTGCTTAGCAAGGAAATAATCTTTTCTTCTTGCTAGATGCAGCTTATGTTGCTTTTTTGTTCTTCTTTCTCTGATAATCAGTATGTGTAGATATGGAAAAAACTAAGTTTTGACGGCAGATGAAGTAATTGTAGCAAATGATAGAGAATATATTAAGAAATACCTGAGGTATACATAATGCAAAGCCCTTGTTTCACATGTTTTGCTGTATCTATTCTTAACATTTAGAAAAATAATTGCTGTTTCTTATAATGTAGCAGCAAACCAGTATTTTTTTAATTGAGATAGCTTAAAACATTATTACCACATTATAAACACTGGTTTGATCTTGTTAGGCAATATGTAGGTACCTTCATTTAACTTTGTGAATATTCAGACTTAGTCTGCTCCTCCTTTGGAGTTCAAGATCAAACTGAATAGAGGCAAGTATGCAATAACTTAGCATGCAGCTTATGGCCCCTGCTCATTGCAGAGGGGCTGGACTAGATGACCTTTGAAAGGTGCCTTCCAACCCAAACTGTTCTATGATTCTGTGATTCTATGGTGAAAAATTTAAAGTTGTGTTCATAAATCCTTCCTCAGTAGACTGTTTTCCTGGATATTTGTGATCAGTAGGTAATTTCATTACTCTGAAGAGATCTAGTTCATATTAAAATAGTTTTATTCTTTTAACATAAATATGCTGAGTAGAGGCTTGTATTCACAGTCTTCCTTTGTGGACAGTAACTTACCTGACTAGTAGCATGGACAAAACCATAGCAACTTATTTAAAGAATCTTGCCATTTTTCACATTTAAAATTGGCCGGTATGAAAAATGATCAAATACTCTCAGATACATTGTTTATTTGGTATTAGTCACAAATCAATTTATAAAGTTGGATTCAATCTTTACTGTGTTAGTAGTAAACTTTCAATCAATAGTTCTGAATGGAAATACCAGTCAGTTGATATAGATGTCTCTTCTGATTAAATAAATGGAACTCTTTGAATTGGATGTCTAGCAGAAACATTTATATTAGTCCAGGTAATTTCAATAAAACATTTTTGACAGAGTACTAAACTTTGAAGTGATTGATGACCACGTATCAATATATCTATAAGGTACCATGATAGTGCTTATATGGTATTCTACCATTGTTCCATAAAAAAGGAGAGAACTCAGAAAAATTTACTTTATTCAGCATGAAAATTGTTTTTTGAAAGTCCTGTAAGAATGTATAACTTATATTTTTTTAAAAAAACATTCAATGTATAACTAAAATGTCCTGTAAAATCCTAACTTTGCTGGTATGTAGGTCATGTAATTATTTTGTTTCTAAAAAAGCAGAAGCAGATGTGTTATGTGAAAAGCGCCATTAGATCATGTTTCATGATTTTGTGAAATGCTCGCCTTATAGAATCCAATAGAAACCTTTTCATTATTGGGACTGAGACAAGCTCATCCCACGTACAAAATCTCTGTGTAATTTTAATTACACATTTTTTACAGCTCATTTTAATCTTCTGTTCACAGAATAAGTCTCAGTGCCTGAGAGGGAATAAGGGCAGTAACAGTATAAACAGCATGCATGTTCATTCTTAGTTATTTCTTTAAAACTTACAGCTGCTGTCCGGTCCACCTCACAGCGGCTACTCAGAATGAAACAAGCTTCAGCATCATCCATTCTAGAAGAGGGGAGACAAGGCTGTTACATACCAACAAAATACTTGTGTGGACCTGGGTTTCACAGCTTATAGGAACAGAATACAGAGAAAGTCTAGTCTATCTGTTCTCATGCATTATCTGAATGTCAGCAGCAGTCACCTTGTGTATTAACTCACGGTGTACCACTACTTCTTGACTAGATTCTCGGAAAATTTTTTTCCCTGGTGCCAGTAGAAGCTGTGCCAAAGCAATAAAAGCACTGTGGCCTCAAACAGACTTAATTTGCAAAATAAATATTTATCTGCTATGAGTATAAAAGGTGAATAAATAGCACCAGTCTGCATAGTGTGTAAGGGTATGGTATGTGCAAGTTGTTATTGAGAGGAGTGAATGAGAGGGGGCAGATAACTTAATACAGACTTGTCTTGCTTAGTGATAGCAGAAAGATGGGTAGATGTATTATGCATAATAAAGCATTAGGGATAAATAACAAACATTTCTGTATATATATGCATTAAATGAATTAATTATTTTCAGGTCATGGTCTCTTTGAGGACTTTTAATGCCTAATTGTTCTCTAGCAGGTTTAACTGCTCATGTAATAGAGGTGGTGGTAGAAGTGCAGAGAAAAACTCTCTGACTTCAGGTTTCATCAGTTTACTTTTCCTCTCTTGCCTCAGATCTTGACTTCCTTCTCCAGTGAATCCCTACTTCACTTATTGGTACGTGGAAGTAAAGAAATAGAGACTTGGTTGACCTCCTTGGGAAGACAGGACTTTCTGGGCAAAGAGAAAACGGATGATCAGAATGGGTTCCCTGGGAAGGGGAAAGGTGAGAAAGAAGCTGGGGAAAATGAACAGACAATTCAGTGCTGACTACAGAAACTCCATTCTGGAGCCTGGAATGGGACCTGAGATTCCTAAACCTTTGGTTTCTCCACTACTAGAAAACGGAATTGGTGGTTGTTAGTTATAGTCTAGGCCATTGGGACCCTAGGCTTAGGCTGGGAGCATATTCTTTTAGGTACTGTACAAACACAGAACAAAGACAGTCCTTGCCATGTAAGCTCTAAATGACATGACAAAGAACAACAAAAATATATGCAAGCATGGGAAACCAGTGGAAATGATGTGACAATACCTGAATATAAAAATTATGGCAGAAAGGGGTCTCACTAGATATCAGAGCAGAGAACCAACTGAAGAGAGCATGTGATGGAGAATCCCAGTATTACTTTACAGATGTTTCTGAGAAATTCATCCTAGACTGAAGGGACAGCATGGGTGAAATCACAATGGGACTTGTATGTTAATCTGTAATATGTGTGAAACAGAATAGCATTATAGACTTATCAGAAGTTTACTTCTCAGTAAGAACTGTGAGTTGCAGGCTAAGTGAGAATAAGGGGTCACTCCTTGATGCCATAAAGAAGGGTAAGCCAGGGAAGGACTGCAATAAGGCAAAGTGATGTACCACGTAAATAATATTTCCAGAGTGTTCTGAAACAAGGGTTCAGGGACTTGAGATTATACATGTCAAGAACATAAATATAGTTTTAAGTGGGGCAAAAATGAGAGCTTGTGTGAGAAAACACTTGTGAGATGCAGGCTCAATCTACATAGGATGCTCCACAATATGTTTCCAAGCTTATGATCCACAGTAGGATACTGGTTTTATTTTGGTAGGAATAATTAAGATCTATTTACAACTGTCTGCAACTAAACTAAACTTTATGAATAGACATCCATAGAGAGATGTCAGATAGCTTGGCCAACCTTTTAGTTTTTGACTATAGAAATAGTGGTTAAATTTGTGTGTTCTATGTGAGACCATTCAGAGAAAGTATAAAGAGAAGGATAAAGCCAGATCATTGTAGATTGCCCATAGGCACCTAGCAGCAGGAAAATGGGAAGCCTCATAAGATTAAAGTACCTGAAATGGAAAAAATCACTGTAACAAAGGCAAATCAATATATCCAAAATAGTAATGTCAAATGCAGCTGATGTGGAGAAGTGAGGACAGAAGGCCACTTCTGAGTGCTGATTAGGAAGAAATCATGGGAGCTCTATGAGCAGTTTTAGCTAAGCATGGGAGCAGAATTGTGAAGATGAGGTCTTTAACAAAGTTGTAGGAAAGAAAATTAAGTTAAATTAGATGAGATTTTGATGAGAGCTGATCACGTAACTGGGATTGACAGTATATATAGATGATTGTGTAAGGAAATGAAACCTCATGTTCATATATTCACCTTTTTCCCCCCAATGTTTTTTGTAACTTCTTGAATCGCTTCAGCCACAGATGACAGGATAATAACCAAAGAGTAACATCTATGAATGTAATGAATTTAGACAACAGAAACACTAATGGCATCTATGCTAAAAACATTTATTAGAACTCAGAGTATCATTATGAGAGAAGTGTTATTAATATCCTAACAACTGTGAGAAAGCTTTGTCAATGACACCATTTTTATGTGCCAGAAAACTGACTCTGAGACAGAAAAAACCCCAACAGAACCACTGCTTAAGGATGGCAGAAATTAAAGGGACTTTATATATTGAAGAGAAATTTCTGAAAGGAAAAAGTATGAGGTAAAGAAAAAGAGAGGACATGAAGAGGATCAAGATTTGTGATGGTTCACTAAATTGGAAGGAGAGAGAAAAAATATTTGAGGTCATGACAGAACATGGGAGAAAGCTGTTGTGGGGAAAAAATCAAGCATGGTAGTGTCAATCGCTTTTTAGAGCTAGTCTGCTCAGAGAATGAGAGCTGTTTTAATCAGTTATTCTGTTTCAAATACTGAAGTAGCTATAAAATTTCCAGTCATGCTGATGAACAATATAAGTATCAATGTGATACCTCATGACAGAATTAGTTCTGTTTTTTTGTTAAAGCTGGCCACATGAACATTGTTCAAAGAACACCAAAAATTTGCAAAGTGAAGCTCTCAAAGGTAGGAAGCAACAAATATCATTTTTGTGAAGTCCAATTTACAAATTTACATATGCCCAATACCAGGGCATATAAAGAAAAATACAGTCTTTAGTTAACTGACTATTTATTACTTATGCAGTCAGCCAGCTTTTGGTATTCCTTTACTTTTTGGTGCAACCTTTATCATGTTATTTTGACATTGCCTTTCACAATAATATATGTATAAATTTTGATAATGAGACACTTTGTGATTATTTTGTTGTTGTTGGTAACTGTTACTCTATTTATTAGAAGACATTTACGATGTGCCTTGTTATCTTCTCAGTACATTATGTTCTCATTAAAAAGAAATACAGCAAACATCTTAGGTATTGGGTTATATTTCATATTAAATGTTCTATTAAATTCCCACTATGCTTCTTCCCTCAGGAGAGGTTGAAAATTATTCTATGACAGGTACATTCAATTACATGTTCTGCAGGAAAAAGCACAGTTCCACAGTTGACTACCTCCAGGTTATTATAAGTGAAATTCAAGATTATCTTTAGGGAACAGCCTAATTTTTCTTCTCCTAATGTGTAGAACAAGTGCTAGCTAAATGCCCACATTAATTCCTTCTTGAAATGAGGAAGAAAGCAAAAAAAGGAAGCTCTCTCGAAAAGAAAATTTCTAATCCTGAAATAAGCTTTATTGTCTTTTCAAATTTTAAACAGATATAGTTGTGTTTTCACTGGCAGAAATCTAAGAGTGTAACACTGTTCACTAGACTTCTCAGATTCTTGGAAATAACTCCCCTGGGGTAAAGATGACTGCATGACACACATATTCAGACAGGTATTGTCTTAATTTTACATATCTGTATTAGTTGCTGAATAAGTTCTTATAGAGAACAATGCAGATAAGTTAAATCAGTTATTTGCTAAGAATCACCTTTCTCTGTCTTTGGAGAGTTTGAAAAGATGATCCTTCTACGTGAATTCCTTCACACCTTCAAGTGACTGAGCAATGGGGGGCGGGAGGGACTTGAGGAAGTGTTTGACTGATGTATTTTGATTAATGTCATTCACTATTAACTGGCAGAGAGAATTTTTTAGAAGTGGTGGAAGTATGTGTGTGGTTTGCATGGCAAGGTTTTGGTAACAGTGGGGACTGCAGGAGAGGCTTCTGTGAGAAGCTGGCAGAAGAAGCTGCTAGAAGCTCCCCCTGTGTCCAATAGACCCCATGCCAGCCAGCTCCAAGAAGGTCCTGTCACTGGCCAAGGCCTAACCCATCAGCAATGGTGGTAGCACCTCTGGGATAACATAGTTAAGAAGCGGGGTGGGGGGGAACCTCCACAATTGCAGCTGGAGAGAGGAGTGAGAATATGAGAGAAACAACTCTGCAGACACCCATGTCAGTGCAGATGGAGGGGCAGGAGGTGCTCCAGGTGCCAGAGAAGAGATGCCCCTGCAGCTCATGGTGAAGACCATCACGAGGCCGGCTGTCCCCCTGCAGCCCATGGAGCTCTATGCTAGAGCAGATATCCACCTGCAGCCAGGGGAGGACCCCACGCCAGAGCAGGAGGCTGGCCAAAGGAGGCTGTGACTCCATGGGAGGGCCCAGGAGCAAGCTCCTGGCAGGACCTGTGACCCTGTGGAGAGAGGAGCCCAGGCTGGAGCAGGTTTGCTGGCAGGACTTGTGACCCCATGGGGGATACAGGCTGGAGCAGCCTGTTCCTGAAGGACGGCACCTTGTGGCAGGGACCCACACTGGAGCAGTTCATGAAGAACTGCAACCTGTAGGAAGGACTCATGTTGGAGTAGTTCATGGCAGACTGTCTCCCGGGGGAGGGACCCCACGCTGGAGCAGCGCAGAGTGTGAGGAGTCCTCCCACGAGGAGGAAGGAGCTGCAGAGACAAGGTGTGATGAACTGACCACAACCCCTGTTCCCCGCCCCCTTGCACTGCTGGTGAGGAGGAGGGAGAGGAGCAGATTTGAGCCTGGGAAGAAGGGAGGGGTGATGGGAAGGTGTTTTAAGATTTGGTTTTAGTTCTCATTACCCTACGCTGATTTGACTGGCAATAAATTTAACTTCTCCAAGTCGAGTCTGTTGTGCCTGTGATTGGTGACTGATTGTCCCTGTCCTTATCTTGACTCACAAGCTTTTTGTTACATTTTCTCTCCCCTGTCCAGCTGAGAAGGCAGAGTGATAGAGTGGCTTTGGTGGGCACCTGGTGTCCAGCCAAGGTCAACCCACCATAATGCAGTAAGAGGAAGGCCCTGAAAGAAGAGTATATGGGAGTATAGTATATGGGAGTAGTTGCTTATACTATTAGGCTGAACTTAGGAAGAAAACAAAACTGTGCAATGGGTTCAAAGGGTGATAATTATTGTTGTTTACTTTTTTCGCCCTTCAGTTGGTCAGGAGAACTACCAGCACATTTACCATCTTTGCTCAAGGAAAAGAAACTAACATTACTGTCAGCTTTGAAATTTTCTGTGCTGCTTTTTCAGAAGAAATCACAGGCACTCTGTTTCAATACCTTTAAAAACGGAGACAGAAAAGACAGTGAAGAAAAATTTGGTCAACTGAAAGTTCTTACAAATATTTGTTCCTTGAAAAAAAAATCATATATTAAGCAAAACAAATTATATCAAATATCTTTGCTTTCTAAATACACATGCTTTCCTTCTAGCACAGCTTTTGTTGCTTGTCAAACCTATTTATCAAACAGTATGAGCGAAACAAAAGTAAAAAATTATATTCGTCAATATTTGCCTACTTAGCTCTCAACAGGTCTTGATCTTTTAGTGCTGAGCCTTGCAGATAGATAACTCGTTGGGACCACATTGGGATTTGTAACACCCTTCGGACCTGAGCATCCATCTCAGTAGGACACAAAATAACAACGTAATAGTCCTGTCAAAAACATAAGGGGAAATAATAATGTTATTTTTTTATATTTCCATCTATTATTGCTAGAGAATGAGTCAACAGAGACTCAGTATGTCAAAAATGTCTCTAATAATTCTCAAATTTCACTGACAAAATTTGAGTTGTGTTTAAAATACTGAATTCTTTAAAAAAAACAGCTGGGCAATTGTCAACTATAGAATCTATAAAAGATTCTAGGGTGTCAGCTGAAGTCCATTTAGAAGTATTTTTGTTTCCCTATGAGCATAATTTTGTTTACAGACAATTTACATTTCTGTCATTCTAGTTGGAGAATGTAGGACATTTTTAACAATCAAAATGGAATTGTCTTGCCCCAAATCTTTCATCTACATTAATGAGCAGATCCAAATTCCGTTTCCTATGCCTACAGACAGTCCTTGTTAGGAAAAGCAAGGTGGCTCGGAAGTATACATGTGTGTACATATGAAAAGGAGAGCTTAAATAGAATGTGAGAGACTGAGCACTTAGGACAGGCTTGTCATAGAAGTCTTCCTTAGCACACAAAGACTTTTGCAGAAAACTTAGTGCATTGGATCCAGTGCATGATCTGTATCCTTCAGATTCCCATTTCAATTGTGAAGGTAACGTATATAAGCTCTTTCAGGCTACATAAGTAGTATTAGGATTTTCTTTGTCTCCAGCATATCATAGAGCCTGACTCGTTCTTCAGGCTAGTTAGCTAAACTTCGCATTTCAATTTGTGTTTGCCTCTATAAAGAAATTGATTTCTTTGCGCATTTGCTTATGCCTCTTACCAGCTAATTATTTTGGGGAATATTTTGGATTTGGAATTTGTCAAATTGCTGCTCAGCAATTTGAGGTTTTTATTTTTGTGATTTTTTTGTACTAGTTAATGAAGCATGGTACCACAGGTAACTTAGTAAAAGACATAGAGAAGAATTAGTAAAAGAAATGGTCTGTAGCAAAGCTAATGATAATGAATTTAAATTGCTATCTCATATAAGTATGCTTTTATATGATCAAAACAAGTCACATGACATCTATTTGCATTAGCTAGGGAATATGTGTACACCAAGAAAATCTCTTGCGTGTAATCTTTCAAGGTCTTTGTCCTTTGAAGTACATCCATTTATTTCTTAATTTCAACAATTCCAAAAGGATTTAATCTTCCCAATCCTGGGAAAAAGCCAAAGCAAAATGCAAAAACCAAAAGATATTTTGACTTGTGAGGAGTTTTGGATCCAGTCCCAAAACAACAGGAAAAAATAAGTTAAGTAGTTTTCATTTATTTTCTATTTTGGGGTAGAATATAAGGAATTTGCATGGAAATATCTGTTTCTAAAAGGACAGGCACAATTCAATAAGACAATAATTCTATCTATTTAGTCTATTTACATCAATTTAAAAATGATGTCTCCATACTGTATCTCAACTTCTTATTGCAATTACAGATTCCCAATTCAGTCAGCTATTCCAAAATTCAGTTTTACAAATTAAAGACAATTTCATAAGACTCTCTACAAAAAATTAGTGTTTTGAGTTTGTTCTTTTTTCCCCACTGTTAAGTACCTGCAATCTGGGATGAGCATAAAATTCATTTAAGAAATCCATAAGTAAGTCAATCTTCAAAGAGCTAACACACAGCACAACATGTTTTTCTGTCTGAGCTCTGTGTCGACTGTAGTTTCCACCAGACTTTTGTCTCTCCATCCACAAATATGCCAACTGTTCAAACTGCAAGAGATGCCAATTGTCAGTGAAATATAGAGAAGCAGATGTGCATTACAACTGTATCATGACTTAACAATGTTGCATCATTCATCTCATGTCTCTATGAAAAGATACCCTTAGTCCCCAATGTCTTTTTCTTTGTAAAAAGTTCTCTAGAAAGTGGGTGAGATGAATAATATGGTGCCTGAAAAACACGGCAGTAGAACCATTCTCTATCATACATAAATAGCAGGGTAAATCCATTAAAATATCATGAGATTACAGTAAATCTCAAAATTTTAGAAAATAATGAAGGCTGTACCTTATTTCCTTTATGTATTTTATACTTCTGAGCACTCTTTTCGCGGTACTATGGGATATAAATGCTTCCCTCAAATGAAAGATTGAATTTTCATACACTTAAGTGTATACTGTGAGTATAGATACTCTGACAGAAGCACCATTTTGACTTAGTTTGGGCAATAACTCTTCTCAGAGATTTTATGTTCTGAAGGTCACCTTTTGTATACTTTCTTATCTGTCACAAATTTAGATACAACATAAATACACAGCAGTTGTTAATATGGCAAAATTGCCTTTGCCAAATGAACAATATATGCAGACTAACAGTAAACATTGCTCTACTAGTGTGAATCCTTTAGGCTAAAGAGAATACTATAACAATCAGTGCCATTGTAACCATCTGTAATAAAACGTACACACTATTTCAAAGCTTCTTGTACATAATAAGCATTTAATACTGAACTCAGTTTAACTATATAAGTGTGATAACTGCTTTTCTCATCCACATTCAACAAGGAGAGATTGAATCATGAATAATAATTGATTTCATATCATAGCAGGGCAAAAGCTCACAAGAGAATGCCTCCCACATTCTGTGTACAGAAAACTATATGAAGCCCCATTATCACTACAAAACTATAGAATAAAGTAGCTAATAGTAGGTAAATTTACGGGAAAGGGCAGTAAATTCCTGGTTATCTACTGGTAATACAGAGCTCTTATGCCTGAAGTGTATATCAGAACTACCTGAAAGACGAAATGTCTGTTTCCTAGGAAATTCCAAATTTCTTAAAGTGTATTTTAGTTTTCAGTAGAATATATATTTTACTAAATTTTCACTGAGTGGGAATATAATTGTGTTAGTCCATATGTCTCTGTATGCAGATATTAAATACTTAAGTATAATTAAAATGTTCAAATAATTTCAAGAAAATTAATTCTGAAAGCTTGAGCTTCCAACCTCCCAGGGCTTCTGTGTTGTCTGCTCACAGTGAACTTTAGTTCACTATCAAAGCAGCAGAGTCTGGAAACTATGGCTGCGTGAGAAACTTTGGAGCTTCATGGTCTAGCACATCTGCTATAAACTTTGATAAGCATGCACAATGTATCCCCACATCCCCTTTTTGTGGCACAAGGTCTTGGGCGATCACCAAGTGTGGAACAGTTAACATCTTGGCAGGACTTCCCATGTAATCTCAGGATTTCTGTCAAGCCTCACCTAATGAGCTGGGAAACGTTTGGTACAAATTTGATGAAACTGATGGAAACCTTGAAATGCTTGGATTTTCATAAATCAGCCTGTTCCTGCTAGAAGTCCTAAACTTAACTAGGCGTCAAAAATTCTTAACTGTGCTGTTGGCTCTGTGTGCACTGACATACACAGCTGTGAACACAATTTGCTTGAGTTGCAGATTTAATGAGATTTTGTTCAAGTTAGCACTGAGCTGTAAGAGTAAGAGAGGAAGTGGAGAACTAAGATTAGAAACAGGGAGAGCTTGCAGAGAAAATGCTATACTAGCACCAGTAAGTGCTGGCTAATGCATTTTTGGGGGTTTTTTGTTGTTGTTTGTGTTTTAAATTGCTCCATTAATAACAAACCCATATCTTAGGATGAAGGAGGGGCTCTGTGGTACATGACAGGAACAGAAAGTTTTCACCAGCACTTGAAAACTCTTATTAGTGCTCTGGTTTTTAGTATAAATCTAGACTATAGGAGAGCAGAGGAAAAAGGAAGTTAAAAAAAAACCAAACCACCAAAAAAAAAAAATCCAACAAACCCCAGTGAGAGGTATAGAAGATGGGTTGTTTTTCTGATATTTTATATACGATAGTAATAATAACAATAAATTATTTCAATTATTATTCTTTTGTTTTAAAAACAATTCTAAAGAGAAGAAAAATCCACGTTTACCTGTATGGGCAGCACCACAAGGGCAACACAGATCATAATGACAACAAGCAGCTTTGAAGGCCATATCTTGGGTGTAACATCCCCAAAGCCCACAGTGGAAAATGTCACTATGCAGAAATAAAGGGAGTCAAAGAGAGTCAACCTGTTTCCTGCTCGTTCCAGATGCTGAATTCCACAAATACTATGTAGAAAAGAATGAATAAAGACACGAAAAATAAAAACTGTACTTAGGGTCAGTTCAAGTTTGATGATTATATGTGCAGAGAACTATTTATCTTCAGAATTCATAAATTGCTTAGCAAAGAATTTTTTTCAGAAAAGAGTAAAAATTAGTATCAAACCAGAATTGTGTTGTTATTATAATTTTCAATAAAAGAAACTTATTTTCTGATTATTTCAACATGATAGTCACAAACTTTATTGCTAGGTTTTGCCTTGTGGCTGTTGTGAGAGAGGGGTGGTATATAGAACGTCATGGATTGATGCAATTTCTTTCTAAACCAGAATAAAACAGATGGTATATAGTTGCCACCATTTAAAATTTTTTATAAACATCTCAACTTTTTCAGGGAGAGTTTGCTGGTATAGCCAAGATGTACATACTGCTTTCTTTAATCTATCGCTCTTTATGTTGGTCTTTATCCCTTTCTCTGGCAAGAGTTACTAGCATGAACTAGTTACGAGAGTACACATTGCATATTAGAAGGACAATGTTGGTACAAATGGGTACTGGCTGTCTCGAATAAACTGAATGTGAGAATCGCAGGCTATTGAATTGTCAGAAAAATGTGTCCAGGTTCGACCTTCAGGTAGAAAGTAAAAGATGCCAACTGGTATGAAGATTCTGCTTGCTAAAAATACAGAATAGAAATAGAAGGCTTGGTTGTCTTTGATAGCAGAATGACTGAAGTTTATTCCTTCCAGTCACACATTCCTGTGAACAAGTAAATGGTAGCCCAAGTTAATTGGTAATTATTTCTCTTGTAATCATCATGATGTGCTTCTGGTTTTGAGAAGCAGTAGTAGAATCTGTCCACAGGTCTTACTGCCATTTCATATGGTGCAGATTTTAAAAATATTTCACTTTGAAAAAATATACCATGATAAAGAGGTTCCCAAGTTTAAAATATGGTCTTCCTTAATACAGTAGAATTACTTAGATCAATTCAGGTTTTTAAATTATATTCACCTATATGAAGAAAATCAATGTGTGAACCACGCTGAATAGTGTTTTTTCCCCATTGAGTCAGTGGAATGATTTCTCCTCAGAGAATTGGAGAGATAATTGATAAATAATATCATATTCCTTAGTAATTATTCTAGAACATACCAAAGATGATTTCATCATATATGGTATCCAGATGGTAATAGTCACTCATTAATATCTGCTATGGTAAGATCTTTGCATCACCAGGGAGACCCTGTGTTTATAACAGCTTTAGCAGTTGTTCTTCTGTTCTCTGTTCTATTCTCCAAAAATAAATTAGCTGTAGGCAGTGGCATTTCCAGAACATATGGATCAAATTCCCAGTTTCCTTTTCACAGTTCTAGCATTTGTAGTTTTCACACATCTCAAAATGTTCTAAAAAGGGTGCGTTTTTTTCCCCTGTTGTCTGCATAAGTTTCATACTTCAGTCAGAAATCATACTTTAATATTTCTAGCTTTTTTGTCCCACATTTTTCACTGGAGTTGTAATCTAGACCTTCCATAATTTCACTATTGTTCCCTGGGTTGGTTTTTTTTTTCTGTTTTTCCTTTTTTTCTTGGACAAAAATGATCATTACATTTTTGTCCTTTCAAATATTAACAGAAGGATTTCAAGGAATTGTTCTAATGAAGCTTTCTTCTGGTCTCAGACAGGGAAGTTTTTCAGTGGAATCCTTTTCTAGTGTTAATTTGAAGTAATGGAGTATACTGCAGAGGCATCCAAATATGGAAAAAGAAGCTGTTTTAATATCATTAGTTACATAAGTTATATGTAATTTTAAAAGCACAATGGTGATGGATTTTTAATTCTTCGTTGTTATTATTCCTGATCACCTTGGTGCATTTTCTCCTTTTTTGTGGGTACATCTCTAAAACACATAACCTTGACTTCAGGAATTAAAGTCACGAGGGCTGGGAAAGCAGCAATTACATTGAGCCAGTGATATGGGTTCCACCTAACTGACTATTACACCACTCCACTAAGTGTGTTAAATATCTGTAGAAGGGTTTGTATCGAAGCATAATCCTATCATTGAAGCATAATGATCCTATCATTGCTAGAAATGTAGTTTTTCTGATGCTGGTGCCTGTGAAATTGCTTGGCGTTTGTTTATGCAAAAGGACCAAATTTACCCTTTGTATCTGACAGGATGGATTAAAATGTAAAAAAAAAAATTGTCCCCTAGGATTTTTTTACAAGGAATGAGAATTATTTCTTCACTTTTTGTTCTTTTTGCGAAACCTTAAAAAAAAAATTAATAACTTGCTGGTAGGAAAACTCAAGTCTTGATGAAGGAGATATTGTCTTTGTTGTTATTATTTTTCATGAGCTTTCTGTAGGCAGCCCACCCAGTCTGAAATAAGTTAATATATCATGAAAGATTTCAGCCTTTTGTAAGTGAACAGTAAAATTCTCATTCAATTTAGTGAGATGAAGATTTCATATTAGCAGCTGTACTCCCTAATACTCCTATATATTTCTATTCCTTGAAGCCATCAAAATAATTTTGTGCCTGATCCAAAATGTGGATTCAAGCTGTTTCTGGTTGAACTCAGCAGGCATGAGCCAGAGCTTCTCACATTTAGTTAACAATATTAAAGTCAGTAAGACATAGGAGCTATTTCTTCTTCGTTGAAGCAGCAATTCAGAAATTCTTCTAATAACTTGTTGAACAAATTAATTTCCTTCCTCAAAATTACCTGCATCTTATTTGCAGTTCAACCAAATTGTACTTGAAGCTCTAACTCTGAAAACAAAGGAATTATAAATCCAAAATTAGGTTACCAAGTCTTAATACTACTGGGTGTTTTGGTGCACTGCCTTTTGCTTTTCCTAAAGCCAGAGATCACAAAACTGGAAAAAACTGACTTTCAAGAGACAACTTTATGGAAGTCTAATTACTAAATGAAATATTACCTCTCTTACCCCTCCCCCAAGAATATTATACTTTAATCTCCCCCCTAGTGCCTCTAAAGAAACATTCCTCAGCATCTATAGCATGTTCCTATGTATTTGGGCTACCTGATTACACTGCACATAGAGAGTGCAGTGGAAAGTTATTGGCTGTCCATGAAGCCAAGTCCACGTGGATTAGTTACTCCATTCCCCACAACTTATTGACATCTTTTAATATAGCCTAATTTTTTATATGAATAGTAGTATCAACTTTTTTTCTTGTAAATTAAGTCTTAAGCGTTATTTTTAAAAGGTGCATTAATTTTAAAAGATGCGTAAATACGACATGTACCAATACAGACAGCATATGTTCTTGTCTGCTTTCTCGTATTTCCTGACATAATGAAATATGTAGTAAGTTGGACTTCATCTTTTGGCTGTTTTGATATTTTATGGTGGTATTTTTATCTCCTTGTTCTTGTTTTGCTTCCTCCTCCTCTTTCATCCTATGAAACAGTAATTTACTTGGTCATCCCTGGACAAACATAATGATTTCAAGCAGGAAAGGAACGCTCAGCAAAGGCAATGCTCACACCAACTTGTTCTTGTGGAGCAATTAAACCACTGAAATAACAAATACACAGAAAATACCTGATTGAAACATAGGGCCCAAGTCAGCACCTTCTATACCAATTTTAGGTTTATTGTAAATTCAGCATGGCTGTCTTTTCATAGTGGATCTAAGTGAGCAGTTACAAGAAAACAAAATTGGTTTAAGGGAGAAGAGATTCAATATTACTAAAGAAAAACCACATAAACCCAAACTCTGGGTCTGCTAAAACAAAATTAGTATCAGAAAATTTATTAAAAACTGATGGACAACAGAAGTGTGATTTTAAGCACTTTACTACCACTGCACTTGAAAAACAAAAAGTAAAGATAGTAACATGTAATCTCTGAAGATTAGTCATGTTTAGTTTAGGTATCATTTGAACTTTTGAGAGTTCAATCTTCGTTTTACAGGAAGTTTTCTTTCTAATTCCAGGAATCTTTGTTTGTGTGAGTATTTTATGTTCCAAAACCAACTACTGTTTGTAAATAACCTATCTCCACATGCAGTACAGAAATAAATACTGTAGAGTAAAATAACCCCTGAGATTGTTAGATCTTTGTCATGCTGCAGTAGCAGGTTATAGAAATGGGCATAACAAGAACCATTTGGATAGCAATTTGCAAGTATTGCAACCTTCTACATTTTTATTTTTACTTTCAGAGAAAATTATTTCTTACAGGTACAGCCTTTTGGCAGTCAAAAATAAGGCACCAGAAGCTGAAGCCAAAAGTTAAGAGATGCTTAGATGTCTTCAGAATTAGGTAGCAACTAACAGCATTTTTTCTTTGGACTTTATCTTTGAGCTTCAATTTGTATAATGACTTTGTTGTGTTTTAAGTAGCTAGCTATAGGGACTAGCTAATGAATATATTGAAATCAATGGGAATTAATTTTATCAGGTTCTGTGAGATTCTGCGGTAACTCGGTGCTTATATACTACAGAAGTTACGCCTGAAATAACTCAGAAATACAGTAATTCTGCATATTAAGTAAGTGTTCCTAGTAGTTTTTCACACCCAAAACTCTTTAAAGTTTCTGTATATTCTACCACAGAATAGTGATCTTAGAACAAATTAAAGTTTGATTATTTGATTGTTCTGTACTGCTAATTGTTGTTTGTACTGTTTTAAAATTTTCTGATGTTCTACTGTCACAGATTTTTTTTTTCTTTATGAGAAAAATTGGAATGAACCATCAGTCAGCAAAATTGTTGATAGACCATCACCTGTAGCAAATATCAATAAGTAAAATTCAAATACAGCGAGATACTGAAAACGATGACCATGTTAACTTTCCAGGAAATACACGGGCAGGCATTTGAGACATATTTTGCCACTATAGTGACTCTAACTGTCTGCTTAAGGGAATGCAGATTTGGAAAAGTTCACCCAAGATGTTTAAAGAAACTTCCTCAATCTTTACACCAAAATAAAATGTGGCTATAGAACAGTTCATACTTCAGTC